GTCGGAGTTAATCTGACCTGCTTTCGTGGATCTCTCAACAAGAGGCAGATAGTGGGCGAAGTCCTGTCCAAGATGATATATCAGGGCGCATATGCAATCCAGCGCCGCAGACTTCAGAGACCGTTCGGAGGAGTTCGTAACAACTTTCTCCGGCGAAGATAAGATCTTTGACAGTGGATGGATCATTAGCGAGGCAAAGTCTGAGACATTGACTGTCCGGGACAGTTTGCCCAGTGTATCGATTGCCGCACGTCGAGCATTTGGTGGTGCTGCTGGGTTTTCGAAAATCCTCACAATGGCAGGTATTATCATGTGCATGTACTCTTCGCCACTAGAGCCAAAGACCAGGAAGGTATGCAGGATCCGGATCGATGACTCCCTTCTGAGATCCGAGTCGTTCTCAATCACGCCGAGCATGAGCGGGAGGAGGCCAGCGAGATATCGACGGAATTCGCCTTCGAGAGACTTGGAGATCGCCTCAATCAGGGACAGGATGGTTGATTGAACCTGTCTTGACACGTTCCAAAACTCTCTGATCACCTCGATGATGTCGGGCAAGAAAGCTCGGATATGTTGGCGAACGATATTGACAAGGACTGCCAGCTGATTGAAATAGGACTCCAGCCGAGGAGGGGGAGAACTGCGGATGACGCCGAGAAAGCCTGGAATGATCTGACCCAGGAAAGGTACACACTTCATACCAATAGTCTTGAAGATGGTCACCACAGCGTCAATCACAGCGCTATGGTACTGAACAAGGGTGTGGTCTGCCAGTATGGTCTGCATGAGCGTGTTGATGACGACCGTCGGATAGTACTCCTCGTTTGATGGCGTCAACCCTTGCATGATCAAGGCGACATCCGAAACGGGTTGAGTCTCTGCCTTGCTTTGCTTCTCTGCGACGGATTCGCTGAGCTGTTGGTACTTGTACGGGTCCAAAGCGCCCAGCACGCCGACCAATTTGATAGCATCCGTCCTGAGCTCTTCATGCGCTTCGGTCTTGATGATGTTGATGAGGATCCCAAGAAGTTCGGGATAGTCCATGTATGGGTCGATCACGTACTGCGAATTGATAGCAAGAGAACTGAGCGTCTTCATAGCCGCTTCACGCTTCTCATGCGAGGCGAGATCTTGTAGGGCATCGATGATGATGGGCATCAGCTCAGGAATGTGTCGAACCATCTCTTCACCACCAACGGAGGTGAGATCTCCCAGTGCTTTTATCGTGGTTGAGGCAACACCTGGATTCGAATCGGTGGCTTTAGGCAGAAGTGCAGAAACCATCGCTTCCACATAGGTTCGGACCAGTGATGTGGCATTGGACACAAACAAACTGATCAAGCGTGCACTTTCCTCCTTTTGCTTGGCTGTGTTCGAATACCCCAACCCCGTGAGGAGGTTGACCAGCAGCTTCCTTAGGGGCGGGAATACATAAGCTGGGTTGACTGTGGTCAGTCTTCCTATAATCTCAATGGCGGCTTCGCGCACTGGAAAGACCTCGTCATTGACAGCCAAGAAGAGACAGCGTATGTTATCCGGGCGAGCCAAGTGCTTGTCAAATTTCTTATCCAGCGCTCGGAGGACAGTAACTCGGATATCAGCATCCGGATCTCCCACGGCCACCGTCAGCAGCTTATCCACCACCTCGCCAACAACTTGTATAGCGTTGTTGCTAGTCTGGTGCAGGATGGGATCCAGCATGAATAACTGACAACAGGTTAGGGCAGCCGCGCGGCGGATTTCTGGGTTTTCGTTCGTGGCATAACGGAGCGTGACGTCCCTAACGAACTCGTTCAGTATATGGCCAGAAAAATCAAATTTCCCCAGGGTCTTGAGAGCTAATGTGATTTCATGGTCTTTGTGCTCGGCAGGCATCCCACCGTAGTCTTTAGCAAAAGACGGAAGTGGTGGAATTGTGTTCGGAGGGCAGCCGAGGGGCCGGTAGGGCGACCGGACGAGTATCAAGCTGAGGAGGTCCAGTAGTTTGTCCTGTATGGTTGCTCGGATTGGTGGAATATTGTGTGCCATGTCTTCGAGTGCTTGTTCCATCGGTTCTGTGAGGCCGCAGGCGAAGATGGGGTCAAGCAGGGCTTCCATATACTTGCTAAGTGTCTGTCCAACAGCACCCGCAAGCATGCTGATGCATTTGAACATCGGGCCCTCGTCGACCGCAGCTCGATTCTTAGTCTTCGCGCTCAGCGATTCTCGAATGTAGAGAATGATCCCGTCAAGATACTGTGCCATAGCACTACCAACTGCATTTGCGATCTGCCCAATGGCAACAAAGGCCTGATTGCGTTCTTTATCACGCTTCAGCTGCGCTTGAAGGTAGACCATAAACTTGTGAAGATAATTATTGATGAACTCCAAAGGTGCATATTCCGCCAGGACAGGGATGACCTGCACAATTTGTGTCCGGATCCTAGGGTCGCGGTGGTCCTTGAACCGGAGGACAATCTCACACGCGTTTCTGTAAAAGTCATGCATAAACATGTTCCCTTGTTGCAGTAACTCGTTCAGGATCAAGAGTGAACCGAGAGTCTCGTCGACAGTCGTGTTAGGGCGGAAGCCCTCCAGAGTTTTGGAGTATATTTTGGCAAACCAATGATTCTGGAATTGAGCATCTCTTGCAACCATGACACCAAAGCAGGCGCTGACGGACTGGGCGGCGACTCGGCGGATGAGGTCTTTGGGGTCTCGCAGGGCGTTCCAGACGAGATCAAAAATCTGTGGGATGAAACCGTAGACGAGGGTCGGGGAGTTCTTCGCCAGCTCACGGATGAGTAGCACCGCTGCCAATTTGCGGCTCTCTTGCTTGGTTTCGGGTTGAAGCCATTCGAACGCCGAAGTGAGTTCAGCCTCGACAAGCTCTGCGGTATATGCTCCCCCGGGCCGAGCCAAATGGCCCAGAGCACGGGCGGCCGCATCCAGGACTGTGTAGTCATTGCTCTTTAGCGCCGCGCGCAGGTAATTTGAGTACTTTGAAGCCTTCTGAGCAGGGTCGATGGCATCGCAGTCGATCAGACGGTCGAGGGCGAGGACTCCGCCTACTTTGTCGCTGGCGTCAGGAGCCTGGACGATGAGGTTACTGATCCGCGTCGTGACTTTGTCGTAGAAGGTGCTGAAGCGCTCGGGAGACCATTCTGTACAGACAGTCAGTGCCTCTCTAGTTCAGTCCAGAGGCCACACAACTCACCGCGGGAGAGCAAGGTTATGAGGTCGCGCAGCTCTGCTGCCGCTTTGTTCTTAACTTCATCATTCTTGCTGCGCAGATCTGTGAAGATGCGTTCACTTGGGTCGGGACCCGGACCTTGCTGCGCCATGGTGCAAGACCATGGTCCTCACGCCGGCTCCTGAGGGCTGTCCGAGGTGGTTCTGGATTAAAGAGTTCTGTAAAGAGTTGGTCAAAGAAAACGCCCATCAAGTTGAGCTCATGTTCACTTGGATTTCTTGGGATGAGGGGAGGTGTCACCAGCTCCGCCGTTCAGTCATGCGGAGATCAATCTTCACGCTCAAGCAGCCTTGGCAGCAGGAAACTTTAGCGGGCGACGCAGGACACGCCAGGCACGCCTAACGGTATCAAGCTCAGGCACTCCGGGTACCCCTAAATGTCAAGACATCGGCCAAGATACTTCAACAGAGCTACAATAATGAGAGAATCTTCTTGGGATCTTGCAATCCCACGTAGTGGATGACTTCACGCTTTATTTACGTTGCTGTGGGCCTCTAACTGTGCAAGTTCCCATACCTATTGCTACATAGTTTGTCCAGTCACTCTATTGGGTCTTGGCCAACAGCCTTTCGAACATCGACACCCTTCGTAAGGCGATCTAGCACCGCGAGTGTCGCGCTTCTTTGCTTTGGAAAGCAGGAATAGCGCCGAGCCGGCCAAGCAGCGAAACATAACAGGCACGGGAGGCACTCGATCCTGACAGGCAACAGCCGCGGATGCATTGTTCGGAAAGATCACTCTACTACGAGGTCAACCGTGCAGTGTCGATTGAGCAGACAGATGCTTCAGAATCTTGGTCTGCGAGGCTTTCAGGCGTATGTAGAAGTCCATATTTGCGCCGGAGCTTGAAGAAAACATTGGTTTCCACACCCAGAAGCTGTGCCCTCGCTCCTCAGTCTAGCCGGCAACGATGCAGCTGTTTGAAGCTTCTTCAACGTGTCTGACACCCAGCCATTTCATTTCGGTAAGAGAAGTTCGTCGAGGGTAGGGGAGGGCGATGCAGCCAGCTTTGAGGTTCAAGCGAGTTCGGTCGCCTTTTATATAGTCGTCGTCGTCGAGAACACAGAAGAGGCGACATCTAGACTGGCCACTTTCTGGGCCTTGAGTTTGCCAGCACCACGCCGGCGCATCTTTCAGAGGATTTATGCCAGATCTGCGGCTCGCAGGCGATGAAGAACCTCGAGGAGTGGAAGTCCTTATATCGCCGTAAGCTCTCACGTGCCGGTAGATATGTACGATGCGTAGCTGGGCTAACTCGATATCCGAGAAGGTGCAGCCTAACTCGAGGAACCTTAGCAAAAAATGAACGCAGTTGACAGAATCGAGCCCAACCCCAAGAGAATCGGAATAGCTGTGCCAGCTTGATGTGTTTTGGTGTGCAGAGAGAAACTGATTGAGAAGTAGATGAATTCGACAGAACCCGAGGTAGTAGTTCTCCGCTAAAACACCATCCAGCGCACGATGAACGGAGGACTGCACAGGGCTTAAGGAAGTGACGAGGTTTCTGGCTAAGAAAGCACAGCCCTTAATCTTGACCCAGCCGCGGTGATTTGGGAGCCCGCGTGGTACAACGTCCACATCCAAAGATGCCAGACCCAGCAATGGCTGGAAACCGAAGGGCCACCGCGAGCAGCAGAACGGAGGAAACGGCCACAAATGGGAGCCATTGCGTGGTGTCAGCAATGGGCCAGGTCGATGCCCATCAAAGTCAGTATTTGCTCCCATCTTTTCATTGAACATCCAAGTCGTTCTGTGGAACCGCATCTCGTCATTCAACGTCGAAACTCGTTCCACATCCACAACTACTCGTCGCTCTTGGATTCCCCACCACTTTGAATTGGCTCCCGATCAATGCCTGCGTGAAATCAATAGTGCTGCCTTTCAGCAACTCTAGTGATGCCGAGTCCATAACAACCTCTGCTCTGCCCGAGTTGTCCCCGGAGCTGGTTGACTCCCCCTCCGACGGAGTGTATTCAAATATTGTGTCCTCTTCTTTGTCAATCTTGGATGCGTCCTCGAGAGACATGAGGTACTGGAAACCATGACATCCGCCGCTCGTGACGGTGACTCGTAGATGCGCCTCCTGAGATGACGCAGGACTCGACGTTAATGTATTCTTCTGGGGTGGCGCTGATGTGATCTGTTTTAAGCGCTTCGCAGCTCGTTCGGAGATTGTGATGGTCATATCGTTGCCTTCGTCATCGGTGCGGGGATTCTGGAGCACAACCGTTGCTCTCGTGATAGATGTGCTGGAGAAGGGTCTCCTTGAGGTTACCCTCGTTGATGGAGAGTCTAGGATTTGTCTGTGCGATGGCCCCAAGTTGTACCGCCGGATTGTGTTGGTAGAAAGGCGGGCTCGGCATGCGCGACATAGATAAAGATACGTCGTTGGATCTCGGGACCTTCGCAGTACCCGTGCAGCACCAAAGGCGAATTTGAAGGGAGCTTGTGACATTATGCCGGCGGGTAGACTGTAGTTTGTATCAGATAAGTGAAGGCGACCTGTATCCCGATGGCGTCGAGGAAGGAAGAGGAGCAGAGATGCCAATGACGCAGGACGTGGGCGGCAAAACGTCGGTCGAATGGGACGCTGACAATTACATGCATCGACGAGTAATTATCCATGCCATGGGTCGGATAGGTTCGTTTTCTGTCTGCTGCCAAGAGTCGTAGACGTATTTCATTTTACTAGAAGGTGGATGTGGGCATAGACCAGCTTATTCCGCTTGACGTACGACCCCTTCCTTTCGTCTACGACCTGTTTGACCAGAGCTACTATCTGCTGGGCCAGAACAATCAGATCGACGGAAGGTGGCTGGCTGGGCACAGGCCTTCAAATCCCCACCGGCAGCAGTCACAGGGGTACTCTCACGACGATGTCAGAGGGGATAGCCGCTCCGGGAAGAGCAGATGATACCCTTCACCCTTTCTCAGAAGCGTATGCCCTCTCCCTCGACGCCGCAGACCCTCTCTCTCATTTCCGCTCAGAATTCCACATTCCGACCCTCTCAGACTTGAGACGTTCGACACTATCGAAGTCGCCAGAGGAGACCCCCTCAAAGCCATGTACATACCTCTGCGGCAACTCTCTTGGTCTTCAGCCTACCCGGACAGCAAGTCTAGTCACTTCCTTTCTGACGCAATGGCGGACGAAGGGTGTGTTAGGGCATTTTGTTGAGCACTCCGACTCCCCACTACAGCCCTTTTTGCATGTTGATGACCAAGCCGCAAAGCTCATGGCGCCAATCGTTGGTGCGAAGCAAGATGAAGTCGCCGTCATGGGTACGTTGACAGGGAATTTGCATCTACTTATGTCGAGCTTCTACCGACCTAGCCAGAAAGGTGAAGGAAGGTGGAAGATCATGCTGGAGGGCAAGGCCTTCCCGAGTGACCACTACGCAGTCGAGTCGCAGATTGTCCACCATGGTCTTGATCCAGCAGAGGCGATGATTTTGCTGGAGCCTTCTGACGAACATCGTCCGATTTTGCCGACGCAACAGATTCTCGAGGCGATTGACAAGCACGCTCACGAGCTTGCACTAATTCTTCTCCCGGGCATTCAGTTCTACACGGGCCAGTACTTCGACATATCGACCATCACAAAGCACGCCCACGCAAAGGGCATTCTGATAGGCTGGGATCTGGCTCACGCGGTTGGGAACGTGGATTTGAACCTCCATGACTGGGACGTTGATTTCGCATGCTGGTGCAGTTACAAGTACCTCAACTCCGGACCGGGGGCTATGGCCGGTATCTTCGTGAATGAAAAGTACGGCAAGGTCGATATGGACAAGGAGACAGGGCAGAGATTTTGGCCCCGGCTGAGCGGGTGGTGGGGAGACGACAAGAGCAGCCGGTTCCAAATGACGAATAGTAAGACTCACCCTATGCAGAGAACGAACACAGCATTGAGAGACTGATGTTTGGCAGAATTTATGCCCAGGCCAGGCGCAGCGGGCTACCAACTATCCAATCCCAGCGCCCTCGATATCACCGCCGTAATTGCGTCGTTGCAAATCTTCAATCAAACCTCCATGGCTGCCTTGCGAGCGAAGTCCCTCCGTCTGACGGCTTATCTAGAAGAACTCCTCGCTGCAATGTCCGCGAGATCTCCGAGGAAATTCGATATCATCACGCCCGGGAGCCCCAGTGAAAGGGGGGCGCAACTCAGCATTCGACTAGCGCCCGGTCTGCTTGATCATGTGCTGGAGCAACTCGAAAGTAATGGTGTCGTGGTCGACGAGAGGAAGCCCGATGTCCTCCGAGTTGCCCCGGCGCCGTTGTACAACTCCTTCGCCGATGTATTTCATTTCTGCCAGGTACTCGAAGCCGCTCTAATCACTGAAGCATCATCCGGGCAAAGTTTGGCCAGTGTCCCACCGGGATTGGAAAGCGTTTGAGCCGCAAGGATCGCCGTCGGGACATGTTGAGAAAAGCTATTGTTGTGGCGGCTCCATTGATGCCCTGCCACTACTCTCGAAGCCTGCTGTACAAGGTGGCCAGTCGGCACGGACTTCTTACAATTTCTGAAATGAGTTCACGGTAGAGGCTTTGCCTTTCCTCCAACGATAGTCTGCTCGACCTCACTTCAAGCAATGCCTCGCGTTGGGCGCGCGCGTGGTTTGCATGGACGCGAGTGGCAGTTTGGTAGCGTCGACGATCCGCAAGGAGCATTCGTTCAACCGGGATACACTCCTAGTCATCCTCGCTATCACTCAGCTCGGCTTCCCGCCATAATACGAAATCGAATCGGCCATCGAGGTTGGCGCGGATATACTCCCGAATCATATCCTGAGTTTCCTCGGTCAGATCAAAGTCTGGATCGGCTGCCATCAGCAATAAATTGAAGCCTTTCTGGTTTTCTGCATCCAGACTCATTAAAAATTCCATGATCTGATCAGAGTGGAACTGGGTCATGGCGTATAGCGTCAGGTTCTTCAGATGCTTGAGCTGAGCGAGAGGTGGGAGAATGTCCGCCGTGACCTCGCCACCACTGGTCCAGAAATCTTCAAGGAGTGGGAGGCTGAGTGCTAGAGCAATGATGTGCTCTTCTGTGAATTCGTCGGACACATCCTTCAGAGCCAGCTCTCGCAGATTGGTCAGATTGCAGAGGCCCTCAACCATGATCTGAAGGTCGTCAGGCGTAGTATCCTCCCCGTTTCCCTTGAGCCACACCGATTCGAGTGATTTCTGCTCTGCGAGTGCGCTGTGGAAGAGCTGGGCATTGACGTTGCGGACGGTATAGCCCTCAAGGGAAAGCTTGGTCAGTTTGACCTTTGGAGAATGCAGGACGCGAGAGAGCAGCGCAGGTCCGTCGAAGAACTTTTTCAGGCTAATATCCCGAAGCTCTGTACACGAGCTGAGCCACTCGACCACCTCGAGAAACACATCGTTATTGAGCTCCTCAAGCCGTACGGTGCCAAAATTGTCGTCCAGCTTGAGTGTATGTATAGAAGTGCAACCCTTTAGCGCGTTCAGGTTCCGCACTGCGTCTTCGTTCAGGTTGCCCAGTTCCAATTGCTGCAGCTTCCTGTGCCGCCCGAGTGCTTCGAATGAGAGCTTCCCAATATTGTTGAAGCTGATCATCTCAAAATAAGTGATTGTATCTGGCTTGAGCTCAGTGAGAAATGCCGCAAATAATTCGTCTGCATCCGGGGACATCCACTCGTGAAGGGTAAGGTTCCTAAAGTTCTCACAGTTCTCAGCGATCGCTTGGCCCGCGCCATCGATCAGTGCATCTCCCTTCCAGAGAACCATGGTCTCGAGTCTAGGAGAACGCGAGATCCATCTTGGTAGGAACCCTGGGCTGATATGACCGTCAATCTCTTCAAGCAGCGTGGTCTTGGCAGTGACTGCCTCTCCGATGGCGTTGACTGTCGCAACGATATCCACGACTTGTCTCCTATATTCCATCTTGGGGAAATGAAAAGGACGCAGTCTACCCGCGAAAAAGGCTGTTCGAATAGCGCCAGTAAAATTCATGTCTTCAAGCATTAATGATAAGTTTCGAAAGTCCAGAGTCTTGATGTAACGGCAGTAGGGTTTGTAGGTGAGGTCGTCGTCAAGACTAGATAACGTGATGGAGCGCCACAGCACCGTCCATCTGCGGAAGAACTGTGCATGTTCGGCATGTTTCGTAACATAGTCACCAGGCCGCTGTTTGAAATCCAGATCATCCCTTTGCTCAAATGCCGGTGAGAATTGGTGTAATCTGGAACGCGTTAGATTTGAAGGTCCACTTCCATCTACCAAAAGCGCAAACTCACTGATATATTGTTCGGAGCGCTGGATCTGCAAATGACTTTGAGCTGAGGGCACACTTGAAGAGCGAGCTGAAGTCCCTGTCATTTCCGAGCTCTTGGCATATCAAGGATAAAATTTCGTCAGGCAGGGTCTCGCCTTGATAGAAAGCCATGGTCGACTCTCTGGTCTGCTCTGGACGAGTTAGGCCTTAATGGAGATTGAAAATAGAGAGGTAACCATGGATTGAAAGGATAGCCAAGAGGCAAGAAAAGCAGCCAAGAGGCAGAGAAGAGAAGCTAGATATCAAACTGATTCGACGCACAGACTACTGGAAGATGGGAAATGCGGTGGTGCTCGATGATGGTTCGATGGCATTTGTTGATCTTTGGAATCTTCACACAAGTCTCAGCGAGTCTTCAGGCGACGTTCACGATGACGTCAACGCGTCTGCGAATTTGCGCGTCGGACTCGCGATTCACCGTGTCAGCGTCGACGAAGTGCAACAGCGCTTCCACAGAGACGAAATGACCCTCAATGCCGACTCTGCTGTTCACTGTCGCTCCGTCTGGAGTGGTGCATCTTCACGACTTCCTCACCTGCCTGGCGAGATTCGATGAAGATGTCTCACTCGAGGCCACACCTCAATTCGTAAGTCGTCGTGCTGCTGTCGATGCCGTGGCTCTGCTCGACTAATAGAACAAGCTGCGGTTCTCGAGTCTGAACATTTCCAAAACTGCTCATGCGGCATTTACACTTGACTCGTCCTTCTTCACAAAGTACCACTTCTCACCGGGTCCGAGGCCTGCATCAGGCCCAGCTCCGCAGAAGCAATGGTCATGCAAGATCCAGAATCGGGTACATGGCTTCTCACCTCGCGCCTTAGCAAATGTCTGATCGTGGTAGGCACTCTTGTCCATCTTCAAACGCCGACTGGGCGATCGAGACAGAGAAGGTGGGCTCGAAACATGCGACTGCGAGTTGCAGGCCAATCCAGACCAAGCAGAATGCCGACTGGTCTTTCGACTAAACTGCCGTCAGGGCATCGTCAAGACATATCGACTGTTCTACGAACCTGGAGAGATTATGCATGCGGCATTTGACAAGCTGGGGTCGACCAACTACTGGACCGCCTCCTCACGAACTCTCAGAGACGTGGTGGAATACTTTGGGCCCAAGACTGATCAACTAGATTGGTACTTTCAGAATGGAAAGGTGACCTTTACCAGCTATACCGAGAAGATCCAAGCTGGCAGAGGTCTGTTACACTGCCGCAGCCGTCGGGACCGGGGACTGACTGAAGCGCAGAAATTCTCAAGCAACCCATGCACACTTCTGTTGCGGTGGAGCGAAAGGATTTCAACGATTTCAACGTCCAGGAAGGCCTTCATATTGGCACGATGGTCAAAGACTTCCGATCGATCATAGCTCATGCAGAGACTATGCGGACTCCGGTCACGGCAAGATACTCACGTGGCAACCGACCGATGCAGATCAGTTACGGAGAAGGTGGCCTTGCAGCGGAATTTACCCTGATGACCAGAGGGTTGGCAAATGTCCCCAGCAATGCTTCAAACGCATCAACTACGACCACACCGGCACGAGATCTCTCCATGCGCCCGGCATCACGCAACTCTGAGACTCCTGCTGCAACCTCAAGAAGTATGCAGACAAACCCTCGACCGGCAGTGGGCGTAGCGAGGGACATGCCTCCTCCCCCACGGACCTCACTGCGTGATAGAGAGAGCATGGCGCAACCGCCTCTTGCCAAGTCCGACTCACTAAACTCTGCGGCACCCCCTTCCGCAAGCATCGACCCAAATAGTCTTTTTATCCCAGCTGATGAGGATGACCAACAATGGGATGAACCCAACTTTGAGCAAGAGCCAGACATTGTAACATGGGACAATACTGCGGATAACGCCCTGTCCGCACCCAGCTCGACACGGCTCATTCGAGACTCAGAGATGCATTCTTTTGCCTCGGTGCAGGAGCAAGAACAGCAGCAACCAGGCAGGGAGAGTCGTCCGACCAGATCGAGGTTTCCCGCAGAAATTGCCCCAACACAGAGGCTGTCGCAATTCAAGGGTATATTCGACTAATATATCAGCCCAAAACTGTCGCGGTAATGTTTGTCTCGATGACTCACCGTGGCAGTCTGCCTGACTTGTTGTTCCATATTCTCGGCTCTGCCGCCCAGTGTGAGTCATATCGTTGTCACTCAGACTGGGATTCAAGGATAAAGGGACGACACTCAAAGACTTGTCTCAAATCAGCCGAGCCAGTTGGATTAGCGGTTGAAATCGTCGGGCCCATGACCTGAAGAGCGGAGGTTCGAATCCTTCACTGGCTCAACAACGTCTGCTTTTTGCGTTCCCAGCAGGATAGCTCGAGTTGTTTTGCGTGCCTTGGCGTACTTGTGGCCATGGTGAGGTCGGCTGCAGCATGTCAACCGATGTAGCCAAAGGGAATGGAGCATCTATCGGGGCGTAGCTTTGGTCCCTTCACCGTTCATCTGCGCCACAGATCACGAACGTCGTGGCGCACCCAGCAGCGACATCCCTCACAACGGTACCTTGGTCAAGTTGAGGCAGAGGAATCACATTCCACCGATCGACCACATTCCCCTTGCCATCGACCTGTTCTCCACAATTACCATGCTCTCCCCATCCCCATGCAATAACCTGTCCCTCCACGGTAAGAGCGACGCAGTGTTCGCTCCCAGCCGCCATGGTGCATACAGCCGGCAGATTTGCTGGAGCAAACTGCCCGTGGTTGTTTTTGCCCATACTCTTGACCACTGCAGAAGAAGAACCTCCCGACGGGGACAAAACATGGACGGAGCTCCATCCCGAGACAGCCATATCGTCCTGTCCGAACAACCACTCCGCGTCCCTGTTCCCAGACATTGAACCCCAAATGACTAGCTTTTCGCCTCGTCGTAGGAACACGGTGTATTCTCTTCCCAGGATGACCCTCTCCGGCGCGAAAGGCAGTAGTCGTCTCCCGTCCGATCCGACATCAAGCCTGCGCGCATCCCGTAGGATTTTCTCCCTTTGATATTGCTCGCCGAGCTGTCCTTTCCGGGAAGCGCCCCAGCCGTATACCTGACCATTGGAGAGAAGAACCACCACATGGGCCATGCCCGCCTCGATGGCTGTAATGGTGACCTTGTCCTTGACATCCGTGTAGTTTGTGACAAACGCCGTCCACATCTGCTGTGCCCCGGTCGCAGAAGTCGTAGAAGAAGTCGTAGCCGCGGGAGTGATGCAAGAAGCAGTAGCGGAAACACTACAAGAACCACCGAAATTACCCCAGCAGACAACAACTCGCCCACCTACCACTGCGAACGAAACGTCCCAAGAAGCGGCCACGTCTGTGATGGCCTCGCCGTCACACTCGCCGTCACACTCGCCGTCACCGTCACCCTCACGCGCACAAAACTCCAAAATCCCCTTCGTCACCTCCCTGAATATATCGTCGTCGGCCTCACCCCCGACGCCGCGCAACCCGCCCGCACCACGTCCAGCGATAAACACGCGACCACGATCCGTCAGGACGACCGTGTGGTTTCCGCCCGCGACGATCTTTCTGATATCACCTATTTCGGAGGGATCGAGATCCTGGCCACGCCGCTGCGTCGCTTGTGAGGGAGATTCGCCGCCGCCGCCGCCGCGGCGCGCTTCTTGATCATCAGATACCTCCAGCCCTACCCCGGCTTCGGCCTCGGTCTCGTCATCGATCTCAGCCTCCACCGCGAAAATACATCGTTGCGGAACCGATGACACGTCCTCTGCGTGCCCGACGCCTAGTTGGCACGAGGAGTTGGAGCCGAGGGCATAGACGCTGAGAGTGTTCGAATGGGCGGTCGGCATGTTGCAAGCCTCATGGTTTGTCATCTCATGCCATGCCTTATCCTATCATGATATAACCATGTCATATGGTTAATTTCGCTTTTGCATGGTGGTGCTGTAATTAATGTGGTTCCGTGAGCGGATTTGACGTCGTCAAACCCTACGTCGATACTCACTCCCGTTGGGCGTTTCGATCCGCGACGACGTCCGTACTGGCTTTGCCACTCTCTGTGGTGAATCCAAATTCTACCTAGGTATATTTATTCCGCGTAACGTGAAGAGTGAGTGAGTTTGGTCGAAGAATAAAGGATGATACATGCGTACACCGGGAAAAACATCAGTGGCAGACTTGGGCTTGGCATACCAGGACAAGGCCGAATACATTTGAGACTCCAGAAACGCAGGATGGATAAACCATCTCTAGAAAGACCTTATGGCATCCAGACTGAACAATGTCTAACACGTAGCTCGGCCGACACGACTATATACATATCCTCATTTCTCATGAACACGTCACGTCCCGTCGAGTACTAAGTAAGGAACCTTCCCTGCTATCATTCCGGGCTCATTTATCACGACGCAAAAACACAGCAAACCACCGCCCGATGGCAAGACCACTTGCTCGCAAGTTGGTGTCGACATACTTCCCTCCCCAAAGCAACCCAGTCTTGATCCCTTTAATCGAATAGTCCTGCCCCGAAACGGGTGGATGCCACCCTACAACCCTCTCCACCATTCCGATCGGAGGACTTTCACCTGCGCCTTCAACGGCGTGTTTGCGCTTGAATCCCCGACAAGCACGTCGAAGGTATCCTTCTCCATGACCCAAGCATCTCTGGCCTCGTCCCAGAAGCTTGTGGCATATTTCTTCGAGATAGTAATCTCGACCTTCTCGCTCTGGCCAGCCTTGACGAAGACCTTAGCGAAGCCCTTGAGCTCTTTCTTCGGTCGATTAATGCTGGGTTTGTGTTGCGAGAAGTAGACCTGCACGACTTGGGCTCCGTCGACCTTGCCCGTATTTGACACTGTAGCCGAGACGAGGATATCAACATCGTCATCGGCGACGGAGAGGTCCGTGGTGTCGAACTGCGTGTAGCTTAGACCGTGGCCAAAGGGGAACGCGACTTCTCTGTTCGTCTTCTCGTAGAATCGATAGCCAATGTAAACGTCTTCGCCGTATATCGCTCGGTTCCGCTCCGACTTGTAGTTCAAGAAGGCCGGGTTGTCTTCGTTTCTGACGGGAAAACTCAGAGGCAGTTTGCCGCTGGGGTTGGTGTTGCCAAAGACCACGTCCGCGATGGCGTTGCCTGTCTCATTACCGCCGTACCATGCTTGAACCACGGCTGGGGCATCTTCAAGCCAGGGCATCGTGACAGGAGTGCCGGACTGGATAACGATCGCTGTGTTGGGGTTGGCGGCAAGGACAGCCTTGATCAGTTCGTCGCTGCCAGGTGGCAAGTCCATGTGCTCCCGGTCATAGCCTTCTGACTCCCACTCGCCGTTCAGCCCGGCGCAGAGAACGACTTGGTCAACCTCCTTTGCCAGTTGGACAGCTCGTTCAATCTCCGTCGCGATTTCCGCTTTCCGCTCAAGTCCAACCCGCAGCCCGCCAGCGCCGAAACCAGTGGTGCCGGGGCTGCTGAAAGTCATGGTGGGTAGGGTACCGAAGGTGACCTTGATGTCGTACGTCTTTCCCTCTTCCAGTTTCAGTCTTCCGATTTCCTCTGCGGTGCCGGCACCAAAGAACGAGTTCCCAGGACGTTGATGGGTCTCATTGTCGACCACAACTTCTCCGTTCACAAAGATCTTGCCGGTCCCGGCACAGCACATGCTAAAGTCGTAGTCTGTCGTCTGTTCCGGGGTAAAGGTGCCGTTCAATTCGAGCCAGTATAAAGACGACTTAATCAAAGGATGCTTGTAGTCGACAAGGAGGATATCCGATTTGTTCACAAAGACTTCGTCAACGGCTTTGCGACTAGTCACCGAAGGCGGGTCCAAGAAGACTGTCATGGTCAACCCATTATCACCCGACTTCGTTTTGGTCAACCGTGTCATCAGTGGCAGAGCTTTCCAGGCTGGCGCGCCGAGAGCATATTTCGCTTCTGGCACTTGCTCTCTAATCCCATCGAGAGGGCTGATGGCGTAGTACGGCAGTAATGAAGCCGAGCCACCTCCACAATAGGATGCATAAGCCGCGTTGGGACCGATGACGGCCGTCGTCTTCTTCTTGTCGAGCGGCAAAAGATTGTCGTTGTTCTTCAACAAGACCAGGCCGTTGGCGGAAAGAGTGCGGAGGAAGGCCGAGGTTTCAGAGGAGTCAATCGTGGTTTCCGGGGCATTTTCAGGGATGCCCAAGGCCTGGGTCTTCTTGACGAGCTTGAGAACCTCTCGAACTCTATCATCAACATCGGGTACAAGAAGCTTGCCACAACCTAGGGCTTGATTGATCAAGTGTGCACGGATGTAGGAAGGCCCGGGCATTTCCAGGTCGAGCCCTGCTTTGATAGCTTCCGTCGTCGAGTATGTACCGAACCTGTTGTTGTCAGTGATCCGAACAGTCCATGAATTTCTTGTCCTTGCTTACCAATCGCTCATTGTCAATCCATCGAACCCCCATTCCCCTCGAAGTACATCCTTGAGCAATCTCGGGTTTTCGCTGGCATGCGTACCATTGACTTTGTTGTACGCCGTCATATAGCAGTCTGGTCGGGAGTCTCGCTGAGCAATCTGGAATGGCATCAAGTAGATTTCGCGGAGTGCTCGCTCCGTTAATATGCTGTCAACAGCTTGTCTCTGGTCTTCTTGATCGTTACACACAAAGTGCTTGACGGTGGCGGAGACACCGGTCGACTGGATCCCGTTGATGGTCGAAGCGCTCATAGCACCAGCGAGATAGGGATCTTCACTGAAACTCTCGAAACCGCGGCCACCCAGCGGGGATCTCTGCATGTTGGTGGTCGGGCCTAGAATGACGGAAGCGCCTTTCGCGATAGCCTCTGTTCCCTGCAAAGCTCCGCCTTTCTTTACGAGTTCGGTGTCCCATGTTGCCGCAAGTCCCGTCCCTGGGGTAGGTCAGCCACATTCTCCGATGCCACGTAGGTCAACCTACCGCAAGGCAGACAAGCTGCAGGGACGCCGTTGAAGAAGCGAGTTCCACGGACGCCATTCGGTCCGTCCGATAATCGTATCGAGGGGACGCCGAGTCGGTGGACAGGAGCAGTATGCCAGAAATCGATACCCGATAACAGAGCAACCTTCTCTGCTATAGTCAATTGCGAGAGCACGTCTTCGACATCGAAACTCGTCTGCACAGGTAAGGAGCCCATTGTGATGTCGATGAGGAGCGGGAGAAGTAACAATAACAGAGGAGATAGGCTACGGAGAAGAGACTCGACAGAGATGCAGGGAAAGGGCAGTATTTATTGCAAGTATAGCATTGGCAGTAAATGACAAGCACAGATCTTTGCTTGACGAATGGTGAAACGAAGTATGTACCTGGGATAACTTCGGGTGCTGGAGAAAAGTGAAGTGGATGAGATTCGCAGAAACGTGATTAGGAACATAGATACGGAGGAGAATGGCATGGGGTGTGTCCGAGTAGCCCAGCCTCACCAGTAACAGGGTGATGCAGCCAGATCCACAGCTTAGCCAACGGTGGCGGAGTCGATCCAGGTACCTCGTACACTGGCAACTCGGTATACTCAGCCGGCTGCTTCAGGCGTTGTCGCGGGGGCGGCGCCGTGGTGAGCAGTCTACCGAAATCTCGCTGAGAAAGGTCCGAGAACAGGATTATTTGCCACGAGACCAGAGCATCTCCTCATCGGGGGACTTTGACCCGGAATATGCAAGGCCAATGATGCACAAGGTCAGAGATCTTACTCCGAGCAACGGGCTATTCGCGGAATGTCGGCTGATCCTGGAGGCAAACCCAGTTGAGGGAGACGGTGCTGAGGGCAATCAGGGTTTGGAGAGGAGTTTGTGCGGTTGTTTTAGGCTGAAGCCATGCTATACAGTGATTGGTAGAGCGGTTATTCCTCGGTCTAGCTAACGACGTTTAGCTCATCTTGGCGTGTTTTGCGCTGTGTTCGCCGGTCTCCGCGTATCAGACGCTTTGCTCTGCAATCCACTGCGATCCGGGGATGAACCCTACACAGTCAGGTAGGTACGGACCCGAAGCCGCCCTCCTCATACAGTATCGTACCTGAATACGTTCGGCTCAACGCCGCGTTTGTTGATCGAGGTGTTCTTTCCACGTGACGGCCAAGGTATGGTACTCCTGTGGGTGGTTGGTATCTCGAAATACTCGCGCATGATGACTTGTTGAGATCTCCGACCACCAACCTGCAGTGTTTTCTACTTTCGTCCGCAGGTTGGCTACGGTAGATGTCGAACCGCTGCCATCTGGGAACGTGCATGGACTTGGCAAAGGATTCGTCCTGCATGACGGCTGAGAAGCATATCAGCATTCGGATTTCACGTGGTGGTGCACTCCATCGAAGCTTCATCAGCCATCCCAGCACATCGGATCGTCCTTGCGCGGCGATTCCCATCTTACGCACCTTAGCTTTCATCTTCTTTCAAGCACAGCTTCCACAACCTCCCACGTGGCTCCTTTGACCACAATCTGGTCCCCGAGCTTCCTATTGTCGTCGCAAACCCACATACAGGGCACCGAGACTCCAGTATCAGAGGGAGTGTTGTTACGCCAATCCGGAATCCAGCCCGTGCTCGCTGCTAGGGGTTGTTCACCACCTGCAGCAGTGCTCGAGGTGCGGTCAGCTTCAAAGATACCCCTAGTCCATCTCTCAACCAAAACTGCATCTGCTCCGACAGGTTGACCTTCGCGGTCTCCCGACTGCTGACGCACGATGCCTTGGCAATAGTTGCCTATTCGAATGATGGTTCCTCCGTTCCCGTTTCGTAGCGAGGGTGCCTGTCCCTCATGGTCGTTCGGCATTTGTATAATCTTTGCGACGATGCATGGGACGAGCTCGAGCTCGGGCTCCCCAGCAACATCCGGACTGGTCCAATATTCCTTGTACATTTCGACTTTGCCTGATTTGGGGTTCTGCATCATGCCGACCTCCATGCAGTCCCCGTTTGGGAGGAGGAACATATCACCCTCGTCAGAAATGCCTGGCCCTTTCGAATCGATCTCATGTTCCCACACGCAGTGCGCTGAGTAACGCATTTCGATGCCATCGACGCCCAGGAAAGTTGTGCTCGAAGTCCCCGAGAACGCCCAGAACGATGGGTCTGACGCTATGGGCTTGCCCAACTCTCGCTTGCGAGGGAATCTGATGTCAACAAAGTCAGATTTTGTCGAGGTCAAGACGAGGGTATCTGTATCTTCGTAAGGTGTCCCGTAGCCCTGTCATGCAGGTGAAAGTCAGAGGAAGGACACCAAGGCTGGCCTGGCTCGCAGTACTCGTCACACCGTCGAGCATCGCCCGATGAGCCAGTATTAGTTTCGAGGTAAGAAGGCGTCATTTTCGCACATCTGCAAACCGGACACTTACCCAAGCGATGCCGTTCCTCGACGATATTGAGGGTTTCTGCAAGAAATCCTTCTTCCACTGGGGAACGTTCTGTTCTTCTGGTTGGCCGCTGTCGTGCGTCTTGTCCTTGCCTATCGTCCCCAGCTTTTCCCCCAGCATGCCGTAGATTTCCATGGCTGGCAATAACAGTCAAGACGGATTCAGCTGTTGTCAAGTGATAGTAGCAGCTAGATGCCCAATGTAGTTCGCCAATTCGACTGGCAAATATAATTAGATATTCGACTTTTGGGAAGCCACAAGATCCAAACCACGGCTTCCTAAACGCGGTCAAGTCCGTCGCGCGTACCAGCAATTATCAATGTTCTCGTTTCTAGAAAAGAATTTTTGTAGCGCTCGATTTACTTCAACTCCGACAGTAGCATTTGCTGCGCTACAGGTGCAATTGTATCGAGCATACGGTCATAAATCTGGTGCACATGGTCGGTAGCGCCTGCAAACTCGGTGATGTGACGGCACCAGACCATGCAGCCCACACCCTCTGCGGCATCGCTACCACCCAACACTTGACCGGTCGTCTTAATCGGTGCGGATCCACCATGGTAGCGGCGTCCTGCAACCTTAGTCTCCTCGCTCCAGACACACGCCATGGGCGTCTTCAAGAGGTAGAGAGGCTGGGCATTGCCCAGTCCTCGTCTGCGCCTAGCCGGGTCTAACGGGCCCGTTCATGACCTTGAACACCGTGTTCTCCAGATAGGCATTTCACGAGCCCACTGATCCTTGCAGCATACCACTGCCGCGGCTAGAGAAGATGCCCATGATGCCAAAGCCCAAATAGAACAAGGCCAGAGGGTAAGCCACCAGGCCTCTCATACCCTTCATGCGCCCGACACTGACAAACATGCCCGAGCTGCTAAATGTGCACCACCCGACTGCCATAGCGGTCAAGACATAGCCCATAGCCGTGTCCATGGGCACGGCAACCCCAAACAGCGCAGTGAAGACAAGCGGCAAGAAACAGTACCCTAGCACACTCGCGCTTCGCGAATACGTCAACGTACTCGAAAAGTGTCCGCCGCCGTGTCCATCGCGACCCTGATGATGATCCCTTTGCGCCTGAGACATCTGGTCTGAATCACTCGGGTCGATAGGCGGCGTCATGAGGGCAAACATCCAATGTAACGCGAACGAGCCGAACAGGGCAATGCCGTAGATGTAGCCGTAGAAAAACTTGCCCGACAGGGCGAGGAATGTGCCGTAGAGGACGAGAAAAAGGAGACCACCGTAGAGGTCGCTGTCGTCCATGATGTGTGGAGAGGGTCGGGTCCACGGGTTTAATACCGTCAAGGTCTTTCATATCGTGTTAGCGAAAACAGTCTCGGAATCTTCATGGCCGTCACATCCTTACCTTGGTCTTGATATGTCCGAAATTCACGCCCAACTCCTCCATCAACCCGGGCTCGCCTTCATAACCTTCCGTCCCAAATGCGGCGAGCCAGCCCATCCTGAGACCACCGCTAGAGTCGCCCATCCTGCCGCTCACGCCCTGGATGCCAGGACCCGCTCCAAAAGCCCCGGAAGAGCCTGTACCATATGCTGAGAATGCATTGGCGGCGTTTCCACTGCCGCCATAACCCCCGTACGAAGCCTGCGACGGCGTGGTATGTCCCGAGACGTTCGAGTATGAGGACGGGTAGAACTGTAGATTCGCGGCACCTGCTCCCCCTCCACCGCCGGCCCCAGGGCCATATGGTTGATTGTAGTAGGACATGACTGTGTTTGGAGAGGCCGTCGAGGCCAAGGGAATGGTGTGTGCGCAGTCTCGTGGGACGGAAATGCAGGGTCAAATGTGGAAAGAGACTCAGGGACCCCGCCCTGACGGATACAGACGAGGCGTCGTGATCTTCTGCGTATATCCAGACGCCTTCGTTGCAAGGATGAGCAAGCTGCGACAGAAGAATAATGCTACGATGTTGCCTTGGGACATCAATATGCAGATGTGTTCAGAACCGCCTTGGAGCCGAACTCCGCAGTGTCGACATTCTGACTGGCTGGATTTTGGCCAATTGCCCTCAGCCTCGCCTCGGCCTCCGCGCAGCCTCGTCAATTCATGCTACTGTAGTGTCGTAGTTTTGTTACCTAGGCAAGCGGAATGGTCGGTTCATCGTCCGCGGGCACGGCTGTCATTATGTACAAACTCCTTTCAGGTCGTTACTACTACAGGAAGTTGATGCCGATACCGAAAGACACCCCTTTCCTAGCCTCTTCGTGTTTCCGGACCACCAGTGGGAGTGAGAAGTTGAGTTCGAATCGTGCCACTGGATGCGCGTAAACTAGCCCTATGCCCGCGGACATGGTTGGCAGCCCATTTCCCATCTCGGAGATGGCATCGGATACACTCTGCCTGACTTCCTGGCTTGTCATCGCCCCCTCCTTCTCCGGGTTGCTGATCGCCAATAGCCTTCCACCATTGACGAAAGCTTGTAGTCGGAACGGTCTGTCCTTGCCAACCTTTGGAAGTGGCACGAGGAGGTTCGCGCTTCCGGCCGCATAGAGGTCGCCGCCGACTGCATCTGGGCCGTCGTGCGGCCCTAAACCTGATAATCTGAACCCTCTCACGTCTGTTGGTCCCCCGAGCTGGAATCGATCATTGATCCTTGACATTTCTGGGTTTTGCTTCGATCCGAGTGTCAACGGGTACAGAAGCCCAGCACGCAACCCTGTTGTGAAAGTCACACCACTGTCACCCTTGATTCCGGGAATGGGAATTGACGTTGCTGACTGTGACTCGACTTCGGTTTTGAGGAAAGCCACATCTCCCTGCAATGGGCCCCAGCCCGCCAATTCTGTTGAGGTCTTCGCATAGTATCCCCGGGTTGGTAGCATTGGACTATCTCTTCGTTCTTTCGTCCATGCGTGTGATATGCTGCTCTTGAAAGAGTCACCCGCCTCGCTCTTCACCGTCTGTGAAGCATTCTGTGCCAGACCAGTTATCTGTCGCCAGACGCCGTTGTAGCCTAGCTCATGGAAAGATCCAGCCGAGCTCAGCCACCGAAACTTCGACCATCCTCCCCTCAACACTTCCTCGTGACTGGCGAAGCCTTTCTGTGTCGCGCTCTGCAAGCCTCCAAGCTGGAAGCGCAGGTCTGGATTGCTAAGCACTGGGGTATCGAAACTCGCTTGATATGATGACCGCGTCCGTGTGCCTATCGAGGCGTTTACGTCCAGGGTTTCAGCGCCGCCCAGCAGGTTTCGCCATTGGACATTCGCGTAGGCTGATCCTTCGGCGTTGCCCAAGTCCGTCCCTGTCTTTGCAAATATCCGACTTTTCTCTTTCACCGAGTAGTAGACAGCGACATCGGTTGGGGTCGTTGTGGGGTCGGTCTGAGAGGGTTTGTCCAGGTAAACAGAAACGGGTTCGTGGTAGATGCCTATAAATCACAATGAGACAAGGCCGCCATAGCTCCAGGGGTTGACAAACCAAACTTTCTAAGCTTCTCCGCCGTTTTGGCGACTTCACGGATCAGCTCACTCTGGGTATATGGTCTGTCGCGATTGCTGGACAATAAGGGATCCACGACCCTTCGGAGAAAGCCATGCCTTGTGTTTGGACTACCCAGGATCGTGACAGAGGAAACGGTGGAAGGCAGCGTCGAGTTCTGGTCAATCAGATCCGCAAGACGCTGTTGCGATAGCTGGAAGGTGCTCTCCAGACGTCGTGAAATGGCGGCTTGCCGTTCCTCCAGTTCGGCTGGGTCAGCTCTCTTTAGCAGCTCGAAGATATTGTCCTCCCCACCAGTTTCGGCCATTGCGGCCAGACGAGCTCCCGGAGCTTTAATTGTCGAGATGAGTGAGCACAAAGACTGAGTGGGAGACGGGAGCTGCGACTACAACTGCCTTGTAGACAAGTCTGCAGACCCGCTTTTAGCCGCTGCCGATCAGCTCTCGGGATACCTTCTCTAGTTGACCATCGCTATGACGATCCTCCAACTGCGGGCGGCCGCTGAAAAGGACATCTACTCAACTACTGCTTGACTTGATCGTGTGCGCCTTCTAACCAATCTCCTACCTGTCCAGTTCCCATCACATACTATGTGCTCTGGTGCCATATCTTGACGCTCATTGTATCCCGTGTGCAACATCCACCCCTGTAGCGCAGACAGTGCCTCGGCTCCGAGACTCCCACCCAGCTGCGAATCATGGCGACAAGCGCTGCGCATAAGAGATTGACGAGAGAATACGCCAACATCCAGAAGTCCCCTCCTCCGTTTATTACGGCTCATCCAAATGAGAGCAACATTCTAGAGTGGCATTACATTGTGACTGGCGCTCCCGGCACACCGGTAGGACTTCATGCTGGTCCATAGATTTGATTGCTAATGAAGTCAATAGTATGAGGGCGGCCAATACTGGGGAACCCTGATCTTTCCGCCCGATTGTAAGTCACCCGAGTCGCCAAAGGCCTGTCCTACCGATGTTTGGTTGCACCCTTGATATTAACCAGTGCTAATGGATTCTGCAGATCCTTTCGCCCCGCCGTCTATAATGATGCACACTCCTTCAGGCCGTTTCCAGACTTCTACGAGATTGTGCCTTTCCATCAGTGATTTCCATCCGAAGTCGTTCAACCCCGCGTGGTCTGTATCGACCATTCTAATAGGCCTTATGTCGTTCATGAACGGTGAGGAGATGACAGCTGGTAGTATTGGTGGCACTGTACAGGAACGCAAATTTTTGGCAGCGAGATCGAGGTGGTGGAACTCAACTGGTGGTGGAACGGCCTCGAAACCTGTGCCAGGTGTCCAACGCAGTATCAAGGGCATCGGTAATGTTAAAGCGGGAGATGGAGGCGCCAAGTTTAGAGCTGAGTTTCCCGAGGAGCACGAAGAGAATGTCAGCTGGATTCATCGGCACCGCATAGATCCAGCTACGGGTCGGATGCTCCCCGACGCCGAGGGGCAGGAACCGATCAACTGCTCCCCGGAGACGAAAGCCCTGCGTCGGATACTAGGCGGCAGTACGGGGGTCGGTGCCGTGGTCCAGGGCGGCCAGGCCGCGCGGAATGCTGGTCAGGGCTGGATCTGGCGGCAGAAATTGTGGATCTTTGCTGGCTGCGTCGTCATGTATGTCATGCTTGCAAGGATATTCGGCGAGGGAGAAGGCATCTCATGACGAGCGATATGAACAAGCGAACTTGGCATTCAGCATGCGGCTCTTGCGGCGTTATCAGCGGCAAAATCTGCATCGGGACATGGTTATCTCAGGAGAGGACGGGTTACTAAGTTTTTCTCGCACGAGCTGTTTGGTGGCTGTGCAAAGGTGCAAGATGCAATGTACAAGCGAAAAGGAGTTGTTTCGGGACAGAACCACCGGCGGGTCTTCTGTGGCCAGACTAGGTTACACGACTTGATTTCGCCGAGATCAGGTCCTATAGACCCAACGTACGTGCACATGATTGGGTAGGCCGTGCTTTTTCTTCGCGGTCTGGATGCTGTGCAACGTCGTTGGTTACACAGCTTCATAAGGCTCCGCGGAGACTCGAGTGGTGCTCCGACGGACTGGTCTTGCATATGGTAGGAATCGCACTTCCGTGTGGCGTCAAGGGGTCGAGCAGAAAGAAGATGACTCTCGCAGCTGCATGCTCCGTACTCTGTACCAATACTGTGTACGGCGATCACACGTCCAGGCGGATCAGGTACCCCGACCCGCCGCTCTTGCGAGCATGAGAGTTCTGTTGCATCCGGGCCTGTCTGCGACTGAACCCACCTCGCACCTGAGGCAACCTGGTGGCACGAGCGTGCTACTAGATCGGAACAGGAGGTGTAGGCCACCAAGACTAGCCAGCTCCACTCGTGGACAGGTACTGCGAGCATGGCATCCGTTGTGAACGGGATGGTGTCACCTAGGAGTGGATACGAAAAATGTTCACAGCGCTGTGTCCAGGGAGCCACAATGCCAATGCCTTGTCACCGGCGACTCTGATGGGACTTTGCCGACCATGCTGGCAATGAGCACCCCTTGACAAAGCCGCCGAAATACCCGTCCACAGGCGTGCGTCTGCGCTGCGTCGGTTCCGGTGCCGGGAGCTCCAAGCGAAACGAAGGGAGGAAGGATCTGCGTCATGGACGAGCACCATCCAGGATGGCCGAAAACATTTTTTACTCAGTCTGTTCTTCAGTGTTTTAAAGATGCAGGCAGTTGGAGCAAACTTTTACATCAGCGATTGATCCCCAATCTGGTCGCGAACTCGATCTATTGTTTAGCTTTCTGTTAGCTGACCTTGCGGCCCCGGGCACGAAGATCCTTCTCGCCTCGCCCCAGTCCCTGATGGCTCTTCGAGAACCTCCCTAGCCAGAAGAAGCTCACTCCTTCCTCATCAGCAGCCTAACGGTTCCACCCAGCTCGCCAGCTCCAGATTCTGGCTGGCGCTAAACGATCTGCTAGGCCCGCCTAAGGAGTCGGTCAAGCTCACCCTTTGGCTCCTGCGCTTCGGCGCTCTCCACTTGCCTATCACTCACCCACTCACTCACCATGCTCTCAACCTCGAATAGCCTCATCCCATTGTTTTCCGTTAGTAACATTTCGGTGTTTATCTTGTCGAACTTGATCGTGGATCGTGGATCAGATCTGGGGCATGGCTGCCTATGGTAGAGACGCTTCCCTGTCTCTCCATAAGTTGGACCCCCCCTCGACGATCATTCCAAACTCCCTGGCTCTCCCCAATCACAACCACTGCTCGTGTAATCATGGACTAACAGCAATGACCTTTCCTTTTCTATGAACATACACTTTGAAGCCAGCTAACCGTCTGTGCACGCATCACTCGTCCCACTCCATCACGGACCACAGCCGACACCTCGTTTCCCTGTCCTGAAGTGATGGACTGGAGAGAATGCACCCTTCGTCCCGTGATACAGGTGCGAATACATCTACATCCTCGACTCACGTTGTCGAAGCTCTCATGGCTAATGAGCTCGACCCCTAGACACGGCTGACGGGTCTCATCCAAGCCCTCAGGTCCCGTCTACTACTTTCAACTTTACCTTCGTGAACCAGGCCGAGGACTTGGTCTCGTTGTATCAAAGGAAAATCATCAACAAAGAGCAGCGTCATACTATCCGCTCTCATGTTATGCAACGCGTCCGTCAATGGGAGTCGGCCCAAGGCAGAAAGAGGTCAACGGGGCGCGAGCATCCCAAAGGATCAGCCAAGTCGAAGGCCAGGAAGAAGTCTGCAGACTCCGAGACGACAGTGCGCAATGAAGCAAAAGTCAGCTGCGCCAATGACCCTCTCAATCTTGCCGAGAGCGACAGAACCACACTGATCCGTTCTCCTCGTCAATCGCCGCGTCTCAACCTCAGTCCAGGCGTCCACGAGTTCGATCCGTTTGACACTCTGCCAACCAATACATTACCCCACCAGTCGTCGGAAAGCCTGTTGCAATACTGTGAGCTGGCAGTCTGTTGCGGTTTGGCGTGATGGCAGTGCTGACGATGGGCGCAGGCTTTGACGTGATGCTTCCCATGACATTCTCCGTGGAGGTCAAGCGGACCCGTGATAGAATAGCTCGACAAGGGCTGGTCCTCAGCAGCAAAATCTCCAATCCTGCCAGTTTCCTGGGCTTCCTGGCAACCACCGCAGCGCATAGAGCAGTCATGTACGGTCGGCACAGAGATCTTGCACCCTCGAACGACAATCATGACGATCTCATCCTAGACCCAGACTACGCCAGAGCCAAACACGAAGCGACAGTGGCCGTGCGCCAGATCTTCCAGCAACGAGCAATCGTCGATGAGCAGATGCTCGAGGCATGTTTCGGGCTTATTTCTACGGCTACGGTGGTGGGCAATTTTGAAGAGGCGAGATTACATCTGAAGATCCTTGACCGTATCACTTCGCAGATTGAGCTATCTGAGCAGACCTCGATGTGGCTCCCGATTGCGAATGTGAAGATATCCGTCGGCCTCCTCGAACGCCCAGTCATGCCACTACCCTTCAAACGCGAGCCGGTACCTGACGCGACCCTACGCCGTATATCGCCTGGCCTGCCTAGCCAGATGGCGCGCCTAGGAACAAGCTTTATGCGACTCGACCAACTCAGCAACCCCCTCAGACGGCTCTTGTCGACGCAGACAGTCATTTGCCATCTTTGTGCAGCCAAAGCAGCAGATTCGCAAAGCCCCTCAGCATTGGAAACGTCGATCTTGGTGAAGAAGTCCACAGAAGCAGAATTCGATTTGCTGGCTTACCCCTACGACGCCGATGCTTTCCCCCGAAATGCTCGCCATGAGCCAGAGCTACCTGCCTTGGAAGGAATTGTTCGGCTGGCAGCTCTCGGGATGCTGTCGCTCGCGCCTCATACAATCATGCCTGCGGCCGGGAACGGACGAGCCCTGACACATCATCAAAAGAGGGCAGTTGAGAAATGGGTACTCGAGCAACACCTTTGGCACGCAGAAGCACTCCACGTCATGTGCTGGGCGCTGCTAGTGTTCATTCAGAACTCTCTGAAGCAGACAGAAGAAGCATTCTTTAAAAAGCTCCTGGCGCAGGTGACACACTATCTGGGGTTGTCGGATTGGGAAGACGTCGAGAACGTTGTATATGGATATCTTTACATTCACGGACTACAGTCGTCGACATGGAAGGCTGTCTGGTTAGATGTCTGCCGAGTCAGAGCACAGCTCTACCCTCGCGACGAAGATCGTGACGTGGTCGAAATAGCTCGGTAACGCCGTTCTGCCCTCTGCAGGACTTATGCAAGGACTCGGCGGTTGGAATCTCTCATTACGGACTGCGCGATATGAGTCAACCTCCATACAGCATTCGGCGGTACATTTACTGTCTCTTGCTTGGTCCTTTGCTTCCCTTGCGGATGATTTAGCCAACCGCCAGTGTTTTTCCAGCAAGGCTACACAACATACTCGATATCACAACAGATATCCATGAGCAGGGCTCGTTCCTATTGAGAACCGGCACCATACTCAGGCGTATGGCGCCGCTTGATGGGTTATAGATTGGCGACCGGCAGTCGAAGGAGGGCGAGTCGCCTCGGAGACTCGAAGCGATGCCTCCTACCTGAAGCTGTACATGATAGCACCAAACGTGGCGGAGGTGCCGATGTGGAAGTGCACATAGACCACGCTTGTGCTGTGGCCATAAGTCATGGTGGTCTAATCTACAAAGCGTTACATACATATTATCATAAGAGGGGCGAGTTTTCAGCGCTCCAAGGCTCAAAACGACCGGTGGTCATTGCCCAATACCACAAACTCCAATAAGCGCCTTTGCCTAATAAGCACATCCGCTCCAATGCTTCGGGTTTGTCGGTCGTCACAACGGAAATCTGAATTGGTAGTCCACATTTCTCCCCATCCCAAGACGTGGCCGTACAGCGACATGCACAGACACATGAGGCAGAGAGTAGCATTTTCGGTGACACCAGCTCATCTCACGAACCGTTTCTTTCCCTGTCCTTGGCCCGCGCAAACGCTTCCCTTGCAGCTCCTCCACTGGCCCTCCACCACACATCGCCTCCCCATCTCATGGCCCGCTCCGCCGCGGCAGTCGGACTATCCAGCGCGGGTCTGATATCCAAGTAGAACACGGGCTGGCCCGTCTCCTCCTCCACCCCGCCGCCATAATAATCAATCACGTACCTCACCTCGCGGGTCGACCCATCAGGTAACCTCCGCGAGACGTACCAATCATGCCGATCAAACGGCGGCTCCTGGCTGAAATGGCTCGGAAACACAGTGCCTAGGACCTGCAGCATCCGGGCCTTGGGCGTCGGTTCCTTCGGCCGCCCCTGAAAGCGGATGAGTTTCGGCCCGCCGTCGCTTTCGCCCTCGCCCTCGCCCTCGCCTTCGGGCGCCAGCAGGCCGAGCACCTCCCTGCGCCGCTGCGCGAGCTCGCGTCTCGCCCGTTCGAACGCCACGCCCTCCTCACCGCGCGAACACACCCTCCAGGCGGCGCTTAGCCCTTTGCTGAACAGGGCCTCCCAGTCCTCGATCTCCGCCCACGCGCCCTCGTTTAGGAAATTGTGCACCGCGACCATGGCCTCGACGTGCTCGGCGGGGGTGTCGGTGTAGCCTTTGCGCAGCATGGCGTTGTACATCTGTTGCGGGGAGGGGTATTCCCAATTGCTGGAACTGTCGGTGCGAGGGATAGAGGATGTCTCGCGCGATAGCGGCAGGGACACGGATTGAGGACTGTCGGGAGACCGTGCGTTGGAGAGCGAGGGCATGTAGTTTAGAGGGTTGAGTTTAGAGAGTGTTGAGACGTTGGCGGGTTCAGTGGGGGAGGAGGAGGAGGGCGTCGTGGCGGTGGTCCTGGTGGTTGTACTGGAAGACGGAGGTGTTGAGCGGAGGGCATGGTTTGGTGCTTTTACAGGGCAGGATGACGGTGGTGAGGTCCCGTTTGTATTTGATGGATTGGCCAGAGGAGGGAATGGGGCCGCAGACGATGTTGAGCCTTCGGACTTGTGCATCGGACATCCCGGCTGCAAAGAGAGAGCGTCAGTATATCACGGGTAGAGAAGCGTAGAAGATGTATATCCACGTACCGGAGGAGCGGCGTTGGAGGATGTAGGTACGCCATGCGGCGCGACTGTCGCGGTGCTGGATTTAGGCGTCTGGTCAGCCCAAAACCAGCCCATCGTCGCAGAAGTGAGTTGATGATTGTTTGTGAAATCACACAGAATCAACAGGTGGCCGTAAAGTGTCTTCGTGGTAAATGGACAGTGAAGGTTGGAAGAATGACGGCAACGAGGCTTTTTGCGCAGAAAGTTGGAGCTCCACTCATTCGTTCGTTCGTTCGTTCGTCTGTTCGTTCACTCCGCCTTCACTTGCACTGTGGACTTTTGGAGATGGAACCATGAGCGCGTCTTGACGGCCACAGAGGGATCCGATACAATACCTGCTGTCCCTCCTCCTGTTCCCCTACATGCAGAATCCTTTCTGACCTTGGTTGCTGGTCTTCTCTGACTTGGCCTGTGGCTTTACAATCCTCTTCGCCATCTGCGCAGCCCAGCAAAATGGCCGACGCAAAGGCATTCAAGCAGGACATGGTCGTCTCGATCCGATATCGAAATGACCTGCCCCCTCCGCCTATGCCGCCGAAGTTGCTCGATATTGATACCGGTGGCCTGGCTCAATACCTCACGACAAGTTACGCGTCCGGGCTTGCGAAACGAGAAGAACCAAATATTGAAATCGACGCCGAAGGAGGGATGCCCATAGACATGATCGGTGTGCCGGGCTACTTTTTAGGGGATGAGAGCGCAATCATGGCGCCCGAGATCACACCGGTGTTGGACCCTGCGGATCAAGCTCTGCTGATGTCGCTTGAGCAGTTGAAGAGCCAGGGCGCAAAGAACAACGTCTCGTTCCTCCGAAAGACACAATACATGACGGCCTCACAAATAGCCAAAACCACTGATCCATTCATGCGATCGAGTCCTCGGCCGCAGAAGACCGCAGGCGGCGCCAAACCACCGCCAGTCCCAATATCTCGAGATGATCCAGAAAACATCAGGAGACAGATTCAGAAGGGCTTCGATCTCGCCTATCCCGACAGTGTCCCTTACAGGCCCAAAGACGCAAAGGCAAACCCTATCACCCCTGCAGAACGAGACGCCTGGGAGCATCCCCAACATCCAGACAATCGTAAACTTCAACCGGTCGAGTTTTACCCCATCATCCCCGATCTCGAGACTGGCACGGATATGGCCTCAAACTGGCAGGCCATCAAGTTCGACAAGCCACCCCTTCCACCGCTCAAGAACGGCCGCAGAGACGACCGTATCGATGTCGGCCTCTTGATGGCCTCGGAGAACGCGGAATTGATGCCCGAGTGGCGGGCACGCAAAGAAGCTCACGAGGCAAATCCGCAGGAATACTCCGACCCTGGTCCGGAGCCGTATACATGGTTGCTATCCGTTCCTAAGCAACCAGACGCAACACCGCGCATCCGCCAACTCTTCGATGACTCCAATCCCAACAAAGACGACCCCAATCTGATTGCCCCCTTGCTCGAGGAATCGGCCGACGGCACGCCGAGACTGCCATTCGAGCGCATCAAAGTCTACACCGACGCCACCCGCCAAGAAGTCGACCCGCGCCGTGTGGTGGCCCTGTCGCTCGTCAACCCTGCGAACCTGCCGCAACACTCACGCTTCCGCAAGCACGATAGTCCTGCGGCATATTACTACCCGATCTACGAGCGCGTCAAGATGAAAGCCGATCGCGGCCAGCTCTCCAAACAGAGAAACACCCGCACTGGCCCCAGTGCCTCCTTGGAAGAAGACCTTCCCGATCAAATGATGGTGTTGTTCCGCGAACCAGATGCCAAGGAGCGGCATATCCGGAGTGAGTTCCGGGGACGTAATGACCAGAGTTTCGCAGAACAATGGGCCGAACTTGAACGGGAGGTGCAGTTGGAGGAGGAGAAGGAGCATGCGGACCGGATCCTGGACGAGCAGGGAGCGCTGCATGAGGGTGCTCAAGACGTGGCCATGGCGGAAGTGGAGGGCGCAGAGGACGCCGAGGTATCCATGAATGGTGCACAGAGGAAGGATAGAGCTGACGATCGTAACACGCCACCGCCGCCGCCGTCGGCTGTGAATGGCAATGCAGCAGGGGATGTGGATGCGGACGCGGAAGACGACGACGACGATATGCTCGACGATTGACCCAGGCCAGCCAGCCAGCAAGCCAGCCAAAGTCAAAGATCCCGATAGAAGCAAAAATTCCGAGCAGTACATACGATGTGCAAATGGACACGTTTATTGCGTTGTCGGTTTCCCCTTCCCTTGGATAACGTTCAATTGCACGATCGGCCATTCGGTCTGAAGAGCAATTGGGACCAGTCTGCACCGAGCAGCGCCGATCCGAAGGCTACTATTATTGCCGCAGCCGAGTCCATTCGGTACTCGAACAAGAAGACAACCAGTCAGATTCGATACTGCTGCACCGTCCATTCCAGAGACTCCCCACTCGGCCTCACCTCGCTCGCCTATCGCTGTGAAAGAGGCTAAACGAAGAGAAGATCGTCTGTCTCTGGATCGCCTATCGGATCCGCCGTGCCCCAAGCACGCACGAACGAATGGCCATGCATACTGTATCTCAGATGTCTACCTCTCTAGGGAAGGAGACAGAGGAAGAGGAAAGGGAGGAGCAACGGGAGTCAAGACGTGTCACTGCCTCTACTATCCGTTGACAAGGCACGCTCGAGGCACGCTTTGTGTGTGTAGGGGAGGGAGTTGAAGGGAGACTTGTAGTCGAAATGCACTTGCTCTACGCGAAGTCGGCAACATGCAAGGCTAGGCATGCCAGGCTCTATATACTCTGACATAGGAAGCCCCAGGTATTGTAGATCTCGGACTGTATTGTTAGCATTGGCAGTATTGGTCGATGAAGTGTCATATGTGACGCGTGCCTTGGATATTACTTTGTATTCTATCATGTGTGAGATTTAAGCTACAAGGTGTGAAACGCAAGATGTGAGGTGTGAGGTGTGAGGTGTGAGGTGTGAGGTGTGAGGTGTGAGGTGTGAGGTGTGAGGTGAGATATATAACTGTTATATTGCAATCCCCCCAAACGCAGACAAAAGCCAGGTCATCGCATAGCTGAAAATTCATATCCTACCTACATATGTAAGCAGCTCTATTCCTTGTCCTCGAGAATCGACCGGCGACCCTAAGCACACTGCATAGTACGGTACTATGCTCTATAGGAGAGATGTCTTAAAGTGCATTAATCACATTACATTACATTGCACCTCATTGCACCGCATTGCACTGCAATATCTCGTACGTTGGAAGTGTTCATTTCGAGCCCGAACTGGACAATCCGCGTCCAGGCACGTACCCTTATATGTAGGCATACACGCGAGAGTGGATCAGACAGAGCAGACAAATGCAGACCAGACAGATGCAGACCAGACAGATGCAGACCAGACAGATGCAGACCAGACAGATGCAGACCAGACAGATGCAGACCAGACAGATGCAGACCAGACAGAGCATATCAGAAAACGCAGATGTCAATACCGATGTCGATGTCGCGTCGATGCCGATGAACCAGTTGGACGAAGCATGCTCATACACAGTACGGAGTACGTATTTGACTTTTCTTCTTCCTCTACAGTAGATGCCTGAGCTTTTGCCCTTTTCTGGCAGGACCGCCTTACGTACTGTATCACCGAGGACACTCACTCACTCCCTAGTCGCCTCGAGATTGTATCTCATGTGCCCGAATAATATGAGGTACAGTACCGCATTTTGCGGGATTGCCTTACCAGTAACACGCCCACGCCACGCCCACGCTCGAGTCGGGATTCTACTTTTTCACCGAACTCCGTACTCTGTCTAAGCATGATGTTTCTGTTTGGTCGGGAAAGATTGGTTCGGCCTTCCTCGCTTCGAACATGGAACACCTTGAGTCCAAATCCTCTGGTCGTAGGCGTCTGGTCCCTTGCAGCGATGCAGCCTACGTGAGGGCACCAGTTGATCTGGAGAGTAACGAGACATCGAGACATGCTGCTGGAGGAGGGATCACCAGTCACACCATCATCACAGCCTCCCATTGGCATTTTCAGAGCTTAATATGCCCGCGCAAGATTCCTCAGGTACCAGTCAACCAGTCGTCGTCCTTGCTTCGCTTCGCTGATATGGATCAAATCGCCCTCGATCGCGTAGTCCAACCCTTCGGAACTGCCGTTGCCTAGGACACCCACAATTTCGCCCTCGAGCAGACCGCCCTCGGTCCAGCGGATTTGCCGACAACTGCGCTGTTTGTTTACGAGCAGCCAGGACCGGAGCTTTTCGGGCTCCACGTCGAGAAAGTTGGACAGTTTCTGGATCGACATAGTGGTGTAGAGCTTCAGGTACGACTTGATCAGGGGGTTGAAGAGCGTGTTCTTGACTTCGTCCATGAAAATCTCGGTATGGTGGTCTACAGGATCGATGTTGAGGCTCGGGTTGTCAAAGTCCGGGGGCGTGGGGTTGATGAACTTGGGACACGCGCTCTGGAACAATTCCTTGAAAATGGGCAGCGACTCGGGCCCGCCACGCTGCAGCTTCGAGAACTTTTCGCCGTACTTCTCGCGGAGCGTGGTGTGGATGCTGTCGTCCAGGCGGGTCGGGGCGAAAGACACGCAAATGGCGATGAGGGCATACATCTGCTCCGTCTTCTTGGCGATGGCGTCGAATTGTCCCTGATTCGGGCCCTTTTGGAAGTTCTTGGTGCGCGACACATACACGAGGATGTGGCTGAACATGCGCACCGCGTCGGCATAGCGGCGCAGCATCATGTAGCTGAACCCGACGTAGTAGTAGGTGTTCAGGTGGGCGGCCATGACGCGGGCGAACATGGCTTTCTTGTTCATCTCGATGTCGTCGAGCGTTTTCAGAGCGAGGCTGAAGTCCCCAAGCAGACAATGCACCCGCAGCAGGCCGATGATGGAAAAGTATCCCAGCATCCTGTACAGAGGGCGAGATCCGTATTCGCCAGCCACGGCCTGTGCATCTTCTCCCCTCTTCGTAGCGGCCAATTGTTCGTTAATTTGCGAGCGCTGGATGAGCGAATACAGCACGTTCAAAACACTGTAGCATCCCCATGTGTTTGGATTTTCCCGCAGGACTTGCGCTTCTTCTTCGGTTGGCGCCGTGCGGGCGACGCGGTTCCGATACCGACAGAAGGATTCGAACTGATAGATGAATTCGTCAATGACGTCCCAAGCCCAGAAGTACGACGGCGTCTCGATCTCGACGGGGCCGTCCGAGTTGAGGATGTAGTGGAAGAGCGAGCAGTAGTTGTCATACGATTGAAACCTGCAAATGTGCTGTTAGCCATGTCTAGGTCAGATTGAAGAAAAAGAATTCCAGCTCCTCTTCTCGAGATGGCATCAAGACTCACTTTGTCTCCAAACTCGCCTGAAACTCGAGCGGAGCAGCAGCGGCTTCAAGCTGTGCTCGCAGATCTGCTGGCCCTCCACTGATTATTGAGTCCGCGCGACCCAAGTCTGCACCTTCATCGGCATAGTTGTTCACTTGCTCCTGGTAGTCTGCGACAAGGGTCTCTTCCTCGACGTCCTCGTCGTGGAAGGCATGGCCGTTGGCATACGACATCGTTGTAGGATTGGACGGGACAAGAGGACTGGAGCGTATGGGGGAAGGTACGAGGAGAAGAGTCACACGGCGACAATTCTCATGCACAGAGTCTTTTCGAAGGGCAACTTTTGTCTCGCCTCACAGGGAAGCGCGGTATGACTGACTGTCTCCTCGATATGTCGAAATATTGTCGAATTGTGGGACCACGAATTCGTTCAGTGGGCGAAATCTCGAAACGGCTTAGTGCAGCCTTTCTGGCTCTGACGCACATCCCCGCACTGACTTCAATAACGCCTCACTAGAGAAGGCTGACCAATAATCTACCACACGTGGCAGGGTCTTCAGTTAATATCTCCCACCGAGACAACATAGTTAATTAGCCCAGCGAGAGACCTCAGTTGGGAAAGGTGTGGCTATGGCGACCTCATATGAATCATTCGACCAGAAATTCAAGGTTGCTCTGATCCAGCTCCATCCCAAGGTAGGACAACTCCTTCTCAACAACGGATCAACGAATGCTTCTGAAGTAATTAACACCTCAATCAGCCGCTCGACCCAGAATACAACTTCGGCCAAGCCTCGAACTACATAAGAGAAGCTGCCTCACAAGGAGCCTCCCTAGCGGTGCTGCCCGAGTATCACCTTTCAAGCTGGACTCCTGACGACGAGCGTTTCGCTCAAATCGCCCTCACCGCGTACGAATACGTGGCGCGCTACCAGGCTCTTGCCCAAGAATGCAAGATCAACATAGTTCCCGGCACCATTGTGACCGTTGATCCAAAGTCGCCAAGTCCAACCGCGAGTAACGGCACTACGGGAGCTGGGGTCAAGCCACCTACGTTGTTAAATATCGCGCCATTCATTTCGTACACCGGCGAGCTCCTAGGAAGTTATACGAAAGCAAACCTCTGGATTCCCGAGCGTACGGTCTTGACATCGGGTCCTGATTCGGTGAAAGCAAGTCAGCCAGAGCACCACCACCTTTCCACGGAAGAGGGACCTCCTCCGCAGATGAGCCCTCACTCGGTAATCGAAACTCCTCTTGGACCCATCGGCATTATTATCTGCTGGGATCTGGCCTTTCCTGAGGCATGTCGCGCGCTGGTGAGGCAGGGTGCCCGCTTGATCATAATTCCCACATTTTGGACCCGCGACGATTTAACCCCCGAAGCCAGAGCATATGGCCCAGACGTCGACATTCAGTTTCTGACATCCGCACTGATCACCAGATCTTTCGAGAACACCTGTGCTGTCGTGTTCTGTAATGTTGGCGGACCGAAAGAGGAAGGATACGCCGGTCTAAGTCAGGTCGTGTTGCCGCTTGTCGGGAAAGTCAAGGGCAGTTTCGATGACGGCGAGCCGGGGATGAGGATTGTTGAATGTGATATGAGGACGATTGATGTGGCCGAGGAGAATTATAAGATTAGGGAGGATTTAGCGGGCAAGGATTGGCATTACGGGTATAGTCATGAGAAATGAGACCAGGTTAATTGTCAGATCACCCGAGATAGGCATGAGGACAGACAATGGCTAACATTCATGCAAGCACAGCGACGCAGACAAAGACTCCTGATTGTGCAGCTCAATGGTGTTCGCTCTCAACAAGCCACGCGGCTGAGCTTCAACGCTGCGTTGTCGTTATGGATAATTTCTTCAGCACCACAAGTGTCAATGTTTACCTTGACATGTTGTCCTTGACTGGCTTGTTCACCGAACATTTCAGCGTGCCCGCATCGATAGCCGCATGGCACTCTTTGTGGACGGGCCCGATTGAACAGGCGGTCTGAGCCATCTCCCAACCATCAACATTCTGAGAAACGAATCATATCCAGGGCGCTTCTTGGTTCTCTTCAGTTCCGGGGTAAAGCGGCGTGAAACGGTTTCGGTGCACTGCGGCTGGCTGAACAGGCAGTAGGTACTGTGGTTGCTTGATTGGCGGATCCGGGAGTGGCTGAGCGCAATCATCAGGCCAAGAATCGATTTTCAATCTCTTGTACTTCAACTGCGAGTGCATACAGGTCCTGGCAGTTAGAGCGTGCTGGATGCTGTTCAGAGAAAGGTAGGCATGGCCGTTGCGGAAGAAGAGATCGACAATCTGCAGCTGGTGGATGTGTTCAAGGTCCTCCCGGATGTCCTGTGCCGTCCACTCTTCTTTCGCAAAGCGGATCACAAGGTTGCGTGTGAGCCCGGAGAAAGCGATGAGGTTTGCCAAATGTGGCTTGATAAACCTCTGTTGGTCGTCCCAGCTAACCGTTAGCTGTACCATGTTAGCGTCACTGCCCACGATGAGGGCGATTCACACACCTTTTTCCCTTGTATGTCGATCTCATTAGTTTGCGCATACTCAAGGAAGCTCTCAGCCGAGATAGGATCGACGAAGCTCACATGAGCAGAACAATGTCGCTTGCTCAGGTACATCTGCAAGATCGCGCCACCTTTCAGCAGCTTCGCAACTCTCTGGAGCGTTGTGGCTGGCGGTAGCCCAGTGATGACCAGAGAGCGCTTGTCGGTAGTGTTTTCGCTGCAGGCGTTCTCAGTTTCTTGAGCGTCTTCTGTTAGCTGGCCCAACACGCTTCCGTCGGCACGGGCAACTTCGGGAGAACACGGATTGGACGGATCGTGGGTAGTTGGTAGGGCAGATAGGTTCTGGTGACGGTTCGAGGTGGTGCTTCGGGTCGCTCGAGGGACGAAAGGGCGAGCAGTGGGTGCAGGAGTCCAATCCGACATACCAGACCGGTCTGGCGTTGGTTCGTCGATTGGACTGTCATTTGGAGTGAGGTCAGGCGTTGGTAGAGAACAGCTGCTGATCAAGACATCTAGCGACTCGCTGGTAGCTCCTCCTGTCAACAGTGCCTGCCTCAGAGCGTGGTATTTGCGGCCAGTGTCGAGCTACGACTCTGGTGTCAGCTGCTTTGCCCCGACCTCGACCACGGCCTTACTCACCAACGTGTTGTACTCATGAATTGATATGGTGACTGCGCCTGCATCTCTACCACATGCATGATTGGGCATGGTGCCGTCTCGTCGGGTCGATGACTGAACATGGAAAGGATTGAGAAGGCGAGATGAAGCTATTAAATTGGATGTTGGACGGTGAAGTGGAATTGAATTGTGCCTGCCAGACCCCGAGGTTCACCTGCGCCCGCTCCTGCCAACCCATGAATTGTCAGTCACAAGATGCTGCCGTGCTTCGACCTTGTTTTCAGCGCTTCCCATCTTGGCTCGCAATGCGACAGAGGCGATGCGGCCTCCGTTGTCAGTGTGGTCTTCCCGCAACAGGACCAGCATAGGTAACTGAGTTAAATAACCACGGGAGCGCGACCGTTCCGAAGGCGTCATCCAGAACTTCCGTTGTTTCGGCGCTGGGATCGTTGGACCAGGAGCATGTTCCGCCCGTGAATATTGTCCCAACTGGAAGGCCATCAACGCAGATCGGTCTCTTGTATTCTTCTCCTTCTCATCTTCATAGACACCGCACGAATCATCCTGCAACTCTCTGGCGCAGCAGCTTTCAATCAGTAACTATCGAGGTTTGGTCCACGCTAGCGCATAGCAACTCTTCTTGCTCTTTTGAGAAGCCACAAATTGACACCACCTACTACAGAGTACTCACCAAAGCGGACCCCAGTGAAGCAGGCTTTTCTTTAGTCCGTAGAAGGGTGTCTCAGGCCAGGCCAGGCCTCGCTCAGCTTGGCTTTTGCCCGAACTCCTCTCCATGCTCCTTCAAGACGGCATCCACCATCTCGATGCTACCTTTGATTAACCTTGCTCGTTCTTCAGGATGCAGATCGAGGAATTCCTGGAACTCGTGGTACCAGGTATCGTCCTTAGCAGGCCCTTTGCCGTCGTAGCCAACGCACATCTCTGCAAGAATAGCCAGTGCCTGTCGAATCGCCATGTCCCCTCCGTACCGCTGGGGTAGTTCAGTCTGATTGATTGGCTTAAAGATGGACTCCGGGTCGTTCTTGTCAATCGCCAGGGCAAGGGTTTGCATTCTGTCTTCGAACGTCCACCATTTAGGCAGGATCTTTGAGCCTTCCAACAGGTCGAGGAAACGTTGGAAATCGTCAATCGCTGCGTTTCTCAAATCAGCATCACACTGAGATATGCAAGCCATGTTACTGGGGACCATTGACTGACCATCCCCTTGTGCCCACACCAACCCATCAAGAGGCTTCCCTGAATAGTAAATGCCGTGGTCTTCCTCGCGAGATAGATGATCTGTCTCAACCCTCAACCGGTATGCATCAACGATTACACGATAGACTTCATCATGGTCGTACGACGAGAGATAAGCGCTCTGCTCGCCTTTGCCCTGGACCATGTTACAGAACGGCTTGTGCTTCCGCCAGTGTGCCTTTTGGCATCTGCCATCGCTTTAGTATCGCCATACACGCGAGATGAGTGTGACATCGCGCTTACTCCTTAGAACAGTAGTCGATAAGCAAACACCCATTGCATTTTTTCAGAGTCTTCTGAAATCCCAGGGCCAGACATTTTGCACAGACAGACAGCTTCTTGCTGTGCATGTATTCGTGTTCGATCCGACCGACGTACGACACACCGCACATAGGAAAAGTCTTTGTCGCCTTCGGCGTTGGGTCGGCCGGAGCCTGGAGATCCACTGCCATTGTGTTTTACGAGATGATAGAACCTGTCGTAAGGCTGGAGAGGAACAGCAGCGACTACTTTACGGTACACGCCGTACGCTTCGAGATTGAAAAGATTTAACCGAGGATTCCGCGTCGCTTGGCAGGCATCACACGTCGTGGCATCTCAGGGGGCGTCTGTAAATCCAGCCTCGTACTCACCTCACCTTGACTCCAACAGACAAGCGCCAGACATCTATATTTGATCTGCTACAATTCTCCCTTCAATGATCTTGACAGGTTTGCCACAGCTGATGCGCGTGCCTCTGAGCAGAGCGAAGTCGGTCAACAACACTCGTTGCGCGGTCGCTGTCTGCCCACCTGATTGAACTCTGGCTGTATCCTTCATGTCTACTGCTCCTTCAAGGACTATGTTTGGGCTTTTCAAACCCTGAGATCGTTTTGCACTTGTGCCAGCGCCTTGTCTGTAAACTTGAGCAAGCAGGGCTGTGAGTGAAGCGGATGGAAAAGAACCATTGCGGGGAGCAGCAAAGCCGATTCAGATTCAAGTTCCAGCCTGTTTCTTCCTGCTTGAAACACCAAACACACAGGCGGATAGATTTCCTTTCAATACACCGGATGTGGACATCCGTCTTGCTGGTAATTGGATGCCACGGCGTGGTCTGCAAGCTGGAACTTCTTCGCTCCCGCCCTCGGTGCATAGCCCGACATTTTCTCTGCCCGCCTCCAATTCCACCCTGATCTGTCCGCGAGCGCTCAAACCCGACGCCGACTTCGTTCGGAAGCATATCGCCGTGGGAAATAGTTCATATTCAATGCGCTAACATAAACCTGGCTCTCTAAATCATGTGTATGGCCATGACAGTCATCACTCCCAGACAGACTCCTTGCTGCCATGACTGTAAGACAAGACGATCGGGGGTTCATGAAGGTACTCTAACGGTAGCCGCTTAACTGCAACGCATGTAGCCGGTACTCACAGCCATATATCAGGCTGGTAGTCGGCCGTCAGTCTCGGGTCCTCACCAAAGGTCGCTTGCCATGCGCCAAAGCCTCCATCAAGCACACAAACCTCCTGCTTCAGCAATTGCTTCGTCTCTCCCGTGCCATGCTCTTTCGCTTCCTCCGCTGCAGCTGCAGCTTCGGCATCGGCAGCCTCGTTCGCTTCCTTCTGCTGAGCCGCTTGCTTCGCCCTTGCGTATGCCAACGCAGCCTTCGGCCCCCTCTGTTGACTCAACATGCAATGGAAAATCACCTTCTCCTTGTCCTTGAGCGTCCGGAGCAGTTCGGGCATTTTCACGTCAAGTTGATTTAGCGGCACCCATTGGCTGCCGTTTATATTGCCGCCGATGTGATCTGAGTCACGGACGTCTATTATGGCAATCTTGGCCTTTTCGGCAGGTTCGAGGAGGAGTTGCGCGACTGCCGAGGGAGGGACGTAGTTGAGAGACGAGAGGGTTATGGAGGTCGCGTTAGAGGACGCTCGCTCCGTCATCTTGTGGTTGATCCTGCGCGGTGACGGCGAGAGTGTTGGTAGTCTCGACTTGATGGACGGTCTTCGTAGGAGATAAGGCCAAGTCCTCCCGCTTCTCATCGATTTTGGCTTGTCGAACCACTGTGCTGCCAGCAAACCAGCAGAGTATGGAGTACGTTCAGTGGATTAGAAAGTCCACGGCCAGCACACAAGTCGCCATTGAGCCTCCGAAGATAGTCGCGTTTGATTGGCTGCCGTGTCCCTCCACAGTATCCACTCTGGCAGAGCTGCGGAAGTTGGACATTTCAGATTTCCATCTCAATGCGTGTACCCAAGTATCCTCAGTCTCACACAATTGAACTCATCTGCAACCAGCACCTTCGCTTCAACGCGCATGGTGAGCAGGTCCAGTCACCGTGCTCTCAGCACAACAACAACATGAACGCCTCACGCACCCTGCAGCGGTGCACGCGCCACACCCAGGCACCCCAGCTCTACAATTCCTCGAATAACCCCGTATCCAGCACCCTCAATGCTGGTCGGCAGCAGCCCAGACTTCAACAACCACATTCAAGGTCATTCTCCGCGACAAGCTGTACCTCCCAGAATTCTAACCCCTATCGCAAACCCAATCCCAGTCCCAACACCAGCGCCAACACCGCTTCCACGTCCCCATCTCCATCCAAACGCCCGCCAACAGCAAACAAACCCCTCAACAACGACTTCATGCAAAGCCTCATCCGCGAGACCCGCGCCCGCGAACCAACTCGCACGCAATCCCAAGGCGCTCCCTCCGGCGGCGGGCTCAACGACATCCTGAGGATCGCCCGCACCTCGGCCCCCCCGGCGCATCCACGCAGCCCGACGGCCACGCACAACCCGACGACAACAGTCAACTCGGTGCTCAACAGCCTGGGCGACGAGCTCGCGTCCCCCGCCGGGCGGCAGATTTCGCTCCGCCTGCGGCCCACGCTAGGCCGCACGGTCGACGGCCTGCACGGCGACCCGACGCGCGGCTTCCGTATGCTGGAGCGCAAGTGCGCCGAGAACAACGTCAAGGGCGACATGCGGAGCCAGGAGAAACATATCCGACGCGGCCAGAGGCGGAAGAACGTCCGCATTCTCAGGTGGAGGAAGCTGTTCTTGCAGGGGTTCAAGGCGGAGTTGGCCACCATTCACCGTATGAGGCGGCAGGGGTGGTAGGGGTGGTAGCAGTCAGCCAGACACATAGACGGTCAGCACAGTGCAAGGCCGGCGAGGGGATATAGATGCGAAAGAGGTAAATAGATCTGGCCATTTCGGGATGCCAGCCAAACAGCCAGGTCCAGTGTACAGTATCACGGCTGGAGCATGAGCTTTTCCTTCGTTTGAAATCATCGGCGAAATGTCTTTTGCTTTGCTTAGCTATGCTTTGCTTCGAACTACACAGCAGCTCAATGCGGTGGAGAGAGGTACCGAACTGCAGGGATTATCTCAGCATCTTCGACACCGTGGGACAGTCCGTCAGTCGGCATCGCACCTGCGCACTTTTCTGTCCGAAAACATTCTCAAACACAATCACAGACACAAACATACCTTATCGACACCGTCAATGCGGTATCAGAAAGCGAGCAGGATATCCAGCTGGGCATTCGAAGCACTTGCCTGGTCGCCTGTCAATTGATTGACCGACCAACCGACCCATTGATTTGTGACTGGCTGTGGACTGAGCTAATAGATAGCTGAGTACAAGAGCTTCTCCGTTCCCATTTTCTATGCTCGTCGGCCGCGTTGCGTTGCAGTCTACAGTATCTGATCCCAGAGCTGGCTTTCGATGTGTGCTCTTTCCTTGAGCGCTACGCAGCTCCTCACGAACTACTGACCGTTGACAGTTGACAGCTGACTCTTGAGCCGTCTCATAAGCAGACTGCGATCTCGGCCTGCGATGCATGAAGATTGTTTTTTTCCTTTTCCCATCCAACGGTATTACACTGCTCCAGGTGATGATAACGGCAGACGAGTCCTCCATTTGTCACCACGGTCTCATAGCTTCGCTCATGAACACCACCCCAGCCCCTTTGCGCCTCGCTGACAGTACTGCTTCCATTTCCGTTCCCTTTCCACCAGATACTCGGTGTCGAGAAGTCGAATTTTGTTTTCGGAGATATCGGCGACGATTTAAACCTCGATTCATGCCACTCGAAGTCGATCACAAGTATGGCTTGCGGCACAACTTTGCAATCACCATCAAGTCGACCGGTTGATCCCCGACGGCGGCATTGTGCGCGGCCCGGAACTGGCTCTGCACTTGTTGCAGCTTGGCCTTGATGCCGTCGTCGTCGGGATATCTAGCAGAAGCGGTGTTGAGCACATGAAGCTGACACACCTTGGAAGTGATGACGGGAGACTGCTGATCGTACCACTGGAGGAAGTCGACAATCTCACTGTCAATGACGGTGGTCTTGCCACTGACAACTTGGTTGCACCCAGGCTTGACACAGGTCGATTGGAAGCCAGTGACGGCGTTGCCGTGCTGGGCCTGGCCCCGGAGCTGGAGGACGCAGCGGTGGCAGTACAAGTGCAGACAGTTCAGGACGCGGACATCACGCTTGATCTGTTGGCAACGCGAGCAGCGAATGGTGCTGGAGATAGATTTCCCGCCTCGGTGGAGTTGTTCGAGGTGCTTCATGTAATTGATGAAGGTGTGGGAAATGGCTGTGCACAAACCAAGAGTCAGCATCAATGCCCAAGGCAGACAGCGGCGAGGAAGTATGTGGCAAGCCTTACCTGGTTCCTTGTCATTCTTGGGTTTCTTGGCCACCCGGAGCACAGACGGGCTTGGGCTGTCGTTCGGCTCGACTGATTCTCTTCCACGCTTCCCAGCCATGGCGGCAACAGCGGATCTCGGACGTGGAGGTGAGTTGGCAGGGCCTATGGATTCCAGGAGACCAGGGAAGCTCTTTTGAAGACTTGTCATCCCTTGCGCGACAACGGTGGCTCGTGGCGACTGGCGAACCGGGGTTGTTTCGATGGACAAAGCAACATTGGCAGGCGTATTGGTCAGCGCAGCTGCGGTCAGATCTGGGAGACTGTTGGCGACATTGAAAGGAGTGGCGATGGAAGCACCCTCGGACTTGACAGAAGGGGACATCAACGCGACGATGGACATATCTCTGGCTGATCCTAGTGGGGAGGCGGACGGACCTTGGATTGCCAGAGCAGCTCCATCCTCAAGAGCGGGATCAGTGACGGCGAAGGTGGGGTCGACAAAGGCATTAACACCGTCAAAGACAGGTTGACCCATGACTGCAAGAGATTCATTCTTTGCCTTTTCAAACTCGGTGACTCGGGCTGCGACATCGTGGCCGAACTGGAAGGTGTTGCCGGTCAACTCGGTCATGATGGCCGCTGCAATGAGATTGTTGTCTTGAACGGTCCCTTCCTCCTTGGTGACGGCATGGATGGCTTTGAGCAACTGCGGCTGGGCCTGCATCTGGTAGTACATGCCCTCGATGAAGTTGTCATTGTTGAGCAACCTGGCTTGGAATTCTGGCTGGCGCTCAGCGCGCTGGCTGCGGAAGAGTTCGCTGCTAAGGTTCTCCATGGTGCGGCGGATGTGGTTGTCGTTGGCGAAGATCTTCTCGCGAACAACCTGAAGTCTCGTCAACAGGGCGGCCTTCTCAGCTCGCAGAGATTGGGCAGTGATGTCGAGGTGATGAAGTTCGCCTCGGAAGGCGTCGGTGTTGGAAGGGCTTTGTTGCAGAGGGAGATGAGGAAGAGGATGATGATGATGATGACGATGATCTTGTTGTTGAAGGTCAAGGTGCGGCGGATCTGACGGCATCCTGAGCAGGAGAAAATCGAGGGAGAGAGATGAAAGTGAACTGAAAGTCACCTGCCTTAAGTATGCGCATTGCACATGCTCGCGCGTGAAGGCCTCTCCGGGCAGTGAAGTGTCTGAAAAGCAACGGCCTCTGATTGCAATAGGACTTCCTTCACCAACCAATGTCACTGCCAACATGACTTTCAATACGGACCTCAACTGTATTGGAAAAGTCTCCTTGGAGTTTGGGTCCGGCTGGTGTCAGAGAAGGATGAAGTTGCACTCTTTGGGATGTCTTTGTCAAGGTTGATGCCTTGAGAGTCCAGGCAAATGTGCTTGTCCGGGGGCTGTTTGTGAGTTTGGGACCAGATGAGAACAGACACGATATACCCGCGACATGGCTGATGACTGACTGACGCGAAATCTACGATGATTACCTTGTGGATGTCTTCTGTCTACTGCCTACTTCTCGCGATGCGGAGACAGAAGTGACGCGACATGGCGACACTGCACATTCAGGCACTGTTTGATTGGGCGCCTCTCTACGACAGCTGCTGATACGATCAAAGTGATCATGGGAGCGCTTTTCAGTCAACACACTGAAGGTACCAGTAGCATCATCTCTGGATGAGTTGTGAATGTAGTATCGTGCAACCAAAGAAATCTCTACGGAAGTGCAGATGCTCGACAGAAGTGATCCGAGACCAGTAATCGCGTAGCAACCTCCCAATGGCCTCTTAGGTAGTAGCAGCGAATGACTCAAGATCTGCTCCTGGGTCAAGGAGACGACTCTCCAGGCGGCGCCTCGTACAGTAGGAAGACCAGGGAACACTCGAATGAACAGCCCGCGAGCAAGCCGTGGCAGGTCGACGAAGACGAGGGAGTAGTAAACATCCTCGAACCAACGATCTACCCGACGTGCACTTACCAATACGTACGCAGGTATATAACAGCCTTGCTTGCCCGCGTTGTGCTAGAGCCTCGTCCTTGAAGTTAGTCAACCGCCACTGCCACTGCCACTGCCACTTGATGCCACAACAATATCCATCTTGCGACGGCTGAGACGACACGACGAGAGATAGATAGCCCCGTCCCCAACATGGTTCTGTTCTTGGCGAGCCACCTTGCACCGACTTCCCTTTCCCCTTCACGGTACGAGCACGATCCGTGTATGCAATACCGAGGACGTACGCAACGATGGTTGAGATCCATCAAGACTACAATTAGTCAGGCCTCTTGTGCCATATGACATGAATGGAGCTGAAGACCAAGTTGTGCTGAAACTTCAAGCAGATTTTCACTGGTTAGCAGACCGACCGTTTGGACCCCAAAAGGCCTTCTATCATCTCTCTCCCTAGCGCTCGGATGGTTCAGCACCACCACGTCTCAGCTCAGCCATCGTCTCATCCTCTTCGATCTTCAGCTGCAAATCACGGGCCAGATCTGAAAGGGTATCGACCAAGGTAGCGTCATACATGAGTCCCGCTTCCGTGTCAGTGCTCTCCACCTCCTCCATGGCGCCGTCAACCATGTTTGCCAGATGAGCAACTCTCCCCTTCAGCCACGCGAGACGCTGAATCTCCCGCACCTGCTTCACACTGGATGACAGGTCTTGGGCTTTCAATTCCTCTGGAGGTTCAGCGCCGTCAGAACCACGACCCGGGTCTCTGGAAGTGGCCTGAACGTGAAGGGGATGCTGGTCTTCTCGCACCACCTGCGTATCCGGTACCCTTGCGATGTCGAAACCGTGGGTGCTGCACATGCTTGCGTATGGATCCGGGTGCGAGACCATGCTGACTCGTCCTTGCTTGTTGCGCTCAACTGATATCCCGTCTGTGAGCATTTCATGGACATTCCCCTTCAATGACCCCGGATCTTCTGCACCGATCTCGTCAGGATGAAAGGTCCGGGAAAAGGAGGGATCCCAACTTACTCGTGGTGGTGGATTCGCTTGAAGTACCCTGGCAATGTGCCGTTCCTGTCTGCTGGTCCATCGTGCAAAAGGATGTGTACACTTCGTGTCTTGAGGAGCAGGTGTAGAGAAGAGTTCTCAGAAATGATGAACTGGGCCTGAAGACAAGACGAGGATGTGGAAGCTGCGCAACGTTTGTCCAGAGGCCCAGGTGACATGTCACTGGAGAAGTAGGAACCAGCAACCCTGTGAAAGGTAAGATGGGCGTTTCTCAAATAGAAGGGTTGATGAGCCAGCTCATACACCCATTAGAGACAGAGAGAGCGTGTCCCGCGCCCCCTGTCCTTCAAACACGCAACTAACAACCATAACAAAGAACACAAGTGCCTACAAGCATACAAAGGTATTGCCAGATTGAGTGGTGGCCTCGATATTCCAACTGGAGATGGTCGTGTTCGGAGACCAAGGCAGCTGGTCGCAGTGATTGATCAACGGATCTGAGGCGAGCCTCACACAACAAGGCCGTACGGTTGTCTAGCAATGGTCTGGCTGCCGATCGGGGTTAATACGTTCTTTTCCGCTTGAGTGCCATTGGCGTACCATGACTGTTACTTAGTCTTCTAGAGCACGAAGCAGTCCACTCGCAGATGACATTGTCTCGGGGAAATAGTCTTGTCTCCGGAGCCCGGTAGCCTCAACCGCCTGTTTCGAGTTTGCCAAAGGTTCGACATGGAAGGATTACACGTGGTAGCAGATCATCTTGCGAATCATGCCAGTAGTTGTAGTCGACCACCTCCCAACATCAAATTGGTACGCTTGTCGGGAAAGCCGTTGTGTTTGCGGGCCACTCAAGGAGGACCAAAGTCTCGTCCGGATTGAATCAGCATTAACCTTTGGGAGCACTCCGACCGCCAACGAGCTGATTATCAAGTCAGGCCCAGGGGGCTTTCGAAGTATCTAAACGTCAAGAAAAGGCCTCACACTTCCGGTCGTGAACTATAAGTTGTCTCGTGTTCGTTCTAGGGAAAATGACCCTGAGGCGCCTGTTCGGAGAAAAAGGCAGAGGACACAGTCAACTCGAAATATTGGTTTGGAAGTTGTTCCGCGAGTCTCCGTATCCAAGGATTCGCGCAATGGTAATTCCAACCATCCACATAAAACCGTTCCGTCTGCAGCGTGTTCGGCAGGAGCTCGGATTGCATCGCGTACCTAGATTCCTCTCAATCATTTGAGAGCCCCATTGTGCGGGCATTTAGCTCAGACGGTCTATCTGTGCTAATGTGGACAAGATAGGGTAATGTCCGCGGTTGTAGTCTGGAGGTCGGCACGAGCGGACGTACTTGTCAAAGTCATGTACTCGAGACAACAACCACCACAGTCCAGCATCGCTTTGATGTCGTCCGAAAAGCCCTCATTGCTGATACTGTAAAGATGGAACTGTGAATCGCTGTGAAGAGGGAACTGTGAATCGCTGTGAAGTCCTCTGTGCTCGGACCGGAATATCATTACCAGTCGATTCCATTTCCAGCTCCTGTTCAATAGGCTTTTGGGAACACCGCTCGGGGAGTTGGCCTCAAAACTAGCCGGATGCAAGTTGGCTATCTAAAGGAGGCTTTTGTTGGGTTTGCAAACATGTTGGGCTCAGGCGTTTCTAGCCGAAGATGCTTGATATCGGGTTTTGCAGCAAGCCCGCTGAGAGTGGCATGCAGCCAAGTTGACACAAGAGAGGAAGCAATGAGTAAGAGAGCGACTGAGGAACCTGCTGAGTGAAGTGGTCAGGATAACGTGTGGTGATGACACATCTGTGAAGACAAGGATACATGCATACCTAGACGGTGGTGGCTCATGAAGCACTGCCCGCCCGGTTCATTGGGCCCCAAAACTGCCGTGGGTTCATCTGATACCTCACCAACTTGCCTCGAGGTTTCTCCTTGCCCAGCTTTTCGTCAAAGATAATGGTCAGGTTGCTTGGTGCCACCGTGGATGGGGAGGGACTTCTTGATCGTGACCGGTCCTTGCTAACTCCTTCCTGGCTAGGACCTACTGCCTCGTCACCGACGTCTTTCGCTCCGTACGACTCCCCGTTGTCCTTTTCGCTGGTGCCCCTTTCGCTCTCGAGCCTGTAAAGCATGCCCTGCAGCAGGACTTTTAGATCTTCCTTGTTGTCGCACTTGGCAAGCTGAGTCTTCGTGGTATCCTTTAGGTCTGACACGAGTGCTCTTTCTGTTCCTCTCAGCCTTGCTAGGATATTCCAACCAGGGGTCCCTCGCTTTAAAGCCCCTTCCTTGATTGGTGCCTTGGTCCGCATGAATTCGCGTATGATTTCCCATAGCACTCCCCAGGGTGCGTTGGTCTTGATGCTGCCGGCTTTGCAATGTGACCGAGAAACCCTGTAACCCAGCCCGAGGAGTGCACCGCGAACTGCGTACTCAGAAGGTGTAGCACAATGGAGAATCTTCGCCAAGTATGTAGGCATGAAAAAGAAGGGAGCCGGGTCTGGCTTGTTTGTCGCCAGCCGTGGTATTATCCGAGGGTCGGTCATTGATCCATCCTGCGCGTCCGCAGGACTCGCGCTTTCATTTGACGATGGCTCAAGACTAAGATCCTCCTCGAGGGCTAGCGTGAGCATGCCCTCAAGCCTGTCGATCGTGCCATAGACATTTTTGTCCAGGGATGGAAGCTTTTCGAGCATCTTCTGTACAAAGTACGGGTTATGAAGAGGACCTGCCCACATCGGTCCACACAGATGCATCTTGGAGTCACAGTGCTCACAATTCGGACTTTTGGCAGCCACTTGGGCGGATGAGAATTTGTAGAACGTGTCTCCATTCTTGGACGTCTGCGGCTGATTTCGAAGCAAAGGCTGAGTGACCCATGCTCCACAGCCGTGCCCACAGTTGTACACGGTCATGGTCGTACCTGCAAGTAGCTTGACGTCTTGCTGCTTTCGATGCACGCGAATGAACAGGCGAGCGTAGTAGTCGATGGAGAGTGACAGCAGTGGCTCTATCGCAAGCCCGTATTTTGCAGCTGACATGGCCACTCCGTTGAGGATCAACCTCAAGCCGCCCTCGTGAGATTGTGCCCCCTTGATTGGCATGCCGCCGTATAGTGCGAAGGCCTTTTCGGGATATCCACTAGAAGCAAATACTCCAGCATCGGTACAAGTCACACAGAGCATTCCGCCATCTCGAATCGCCTGGAGACTGCAATCGAAGAAAGGAGCTGCCGTACCATATGGATCGATGTCGATGACATCGAATCGGTGGACGTAGCCTTTAGCAGACCGTGAATGTTCATTTCCAACCTTGCTGTACATGAAAGCTCGAGCATCACCCAGATTCGAACGAACTTTGTCTTCCACCTGGTTGTGTTTAATGTTTAGCTCAATACTCTCGACCGATGCCTGGGAGAGGTCATTTGCGACGATGTCTGTGGCGAATGGTATTTCTTTGGCGTACCGCAAGGCCCTCAGACCCGTCGCTGACAAGGCATCCAGGATCGAGAAGGATACTTGCTGGTTCTTCGCTGCTCCCGACCTGGCGCCGTCTTCGACGGCATGCGGATGTCCATTCTGCTTTGGTTGTTCGGTTTGAGCGTGTGGGTCCCCGCTAGGGTGAGCAATCAGCTCGGCAACAGGCAATTCCTCTTCGTCGCCTTGTCCATCAGTGTTTGCCCTGGGTTTCTTCGCAGGTGCTGGCACCGAGTCGTTCTCGAGCTGCTCTTCGATATCGTCTGCCTTGCGCTTCCGTGCATTCAGTTGCTCGGACCCATTTTCAGCAATACTGTCCAGCTGAGTGGTGGCCAGATTCCTCGATCGTCGGCCGTCCCTCTTGTTTTTGTTGTGCTGCGCTTTCCGCTTGGACTTGGACTGTGTTTCTAGCAAGGCGCCTTCGCCGTAGACGGTGATTGCAAGTACAGTCAAGTCTCGATTGAACTGCTGGATTGGATTGTAGAACACTGCCTGGTGCCCCTCGTCATTGTTCCTGCTTTGCGTTGCCGACGGATCAGTTTGTTCGCTGCCATCGTTCTTGTTACGCTTGGTCGACGCCGGCTTTTCCGCAGCATATGGAGCGAGCACTGAAGCGAGCCCTTCACGGACCTGTCTGTATCTCTTGCCGTCTATGATAGTAGCATCAGGCGGTGCAGGAGACGCCATTTTGTAGTGAGATGGAGCTGCGATCGTCCTCTGTTGCGATGTTGAACAGTTTCGCAGCCCGCCAATCACGGGATTTTGCAGGCGGAAGTGGACGAGTTCCACGCGCAGAACTCCAAACCAACGCGCAATCCTCATCACCCGTCCAGCTCCCCTCCTCTCCGACGCGTTAGACGATGTTGGCTCCGAGAGGACGTCATGTTCACGGGAGGCAGATTCTGCAGTCAGGAGAGCGACAAGGTATGAAAGTGCCAAGATCAAAGTCTTGGCCCGTTTTGACAGCAGGAGTCAGTATTTAATTTACTCCTTCACAAGGCTCAACTGTAATCATCGCAATCTGCCTCGTGTCTTGAGCAAGTCGCTCTTCTGGCTTCTACGCTGCTATTCTATTGCATGACTCCGTGTGGCCGTGGTACATTACATCTATTCTCTACCTGCGATGATAACTTGTGAAGCTCTGGGTCAGGTGTCCGACGAAGCACGACCCTTACAATCAGGCATGCAACCTGTTGGTCGGCGTGGGTCGTAGTAGTCCTCGTCGTCTGTCACATCGCTGTCATCGGGAACAGCACTCGGCACTGCACCTATCGAATCGGTCTCCTCCTTCGTAACGTCGACCTTGGGCTCGTCGTTGGCCGGAGCGAAAGCGTTCTTAAATCCTCCCTTTTTGAACCCTCCGCCACCGGTCGATGCACTCTTGGTGGCACCGCCGAGTTTAATCTGCATCAAGGGGCCCTTCTCTTCCTTTTTCGGTTGGACTTGTCGTTGCATCTCCTTCATCTCTTTCAATCTCTTCTTGTGTTGGTGATCGTAAGATGACTCATGCGCTTCGAACTCGTTCATACGACTGTAGCCTTTTTGGCATAGCGAACAGAAGAAGGCGCTACGCGCTTGCTTTGCGGACTGTGTATTCGCAGGAGGAAGGGTGAATCCTCGCTGGAGGGGAAGCGACGAGTCAATAACTCCAGAGAAGAATAGGACCGCACCGCAGATGATCACCGCGATTTCGAGCGCGACTTACCGGAGGCATTTTGACAAGGCTTGCTGCGGTGCACGGGGACTGAATGCAAGGTAAATGATGTCGCGATGAGCGCCCGATGAAGTCCGAGTGAGAAGAGTTGCAATGCCGCATGAATAACTCGCTCCGGGCCGCTTGCTCCGCCGCAGCCCCTCATTGCTTCAGCCGCAAAATTCAGCCAATCAAACACTCGACTTTCTGCTCCGATGGCTCCACAATCGGCTCTCTGCTTCTCGTCTTCCGTTCTTCAGCCTGTCGAGGTGTGAAAACCCGTTGCTGTGTCGTTGCGGATAGTAGTGCTGGTCTCCGAATCATGACTGTGATCAAGCGTTGGCCCGGCGAGTGAGAGACAAGTTGACCAAAAAAGAAGTGAGGGACAATCACCGTCGTCTCAGCCGACCACAGAATCGACATGCTCATGCCGGCCTTAAACCACAGTCCCCGCCATGCGCCTGATCGATGTCAAGACCCTACAGTTGAAGGAGTTCGGCAGCGGCGAAGTACCCAGATATGCTATCCTCTCGCACCGGTGGGAGTCCGAAGAGGTCTCCTTCCAGGAGATGAGTCAACCAAAAACCTTTGGCAAGAGAGGCTTTGCTAAGATCCAGTCGGCATGCTGGCAGGCCAGGAACAAAGGGTATTCGTACTTGTGGGTCGATACCTGTTGTATCGACAAGACGAGCTCGGCAGAGTTGACTGAAGCTATCAACTCCATGTACAAATGGTATCAAAATGCCGAGATCTGCTTCGCCTACCTGACGGATATCGAGTCACGGAAGCATGCGATCAAGGACAGCATGTGGCTGACCCGCGGCTGGACACTGCAGGAGCTGATCGCGCCCAAACATGTCAGTTTCCACGATCGGCATTGGGTGTTTCTGGGCACCAAAGGCGACCTCGCGCACGAGCTTTCGATGCACACCGGCATCCCAATCGAGGTCCTCATGGGACATAGCAGACCTTCGAGCTGCTCTGTGGCGCAGAGAATGTCATGGGCGGCACGGCGGCAGACAACACGCATCGAGGACAGAGCGTACAGTCTCCTGGGGATCTTCGACGTCAGCATGCCGATGCTCTACGGAGAAGGCGAGAAGTCTTTTGCAAGGCTGCAGCAGGAGATCCTCAGGCTTTCCGACGACCAATCCATATTCGCCTGGGATCGTGGCCACGAAGGTTATTTTGGTGGCCACAGCGGGTTGCTGGCGACATCTCCCTCGCAATTCGTCACATGCCAGAGTGTCGTTCGCTCCTCCCACGGTCTCCCAAACACGGGAAGATTTGAGCTTACCAATGTCGGGCTCTCCATCTCCCTACTGACAGTTCCTTGGGCGATGGAGACATATCTCTGCATCCTGCACTGTACTCTCCGGGCTTCTCCTCATCTGAGGCTGGGCGTCTTCCTGGAACGATTGTCTTCGTCGCAGGATGCAGAGCAGTTCGCCCGTGTTTCACTCAACGGCAACACTGTTTTGTGTGTTCCGCTACAGACGATTCTGCAGGACCCGCAGCATCGCGTGCGACATATCCACGTCCGCCCAGCTATAATCGACGCGCCTCTCCACAGATGGTATGGATTTCGTCTCCACGAATTCACCGTCCCAGAGTATACCGTCGAGGAACTGTACAAGACAGCCTTCCACTTCCGCGACACCTTACGTGTCATTACCCGCTACAGTCACGAGGAAATGCGGGCCGCCAAGCTGTACCATCCTAATGGGCTTGCTGGCCTGCCTCCCCGGCCACTCTTTTTCTGCATGCCGCGTGGGCGCAGCGACGCAATGGAGCCGATCAGAGGGACTGCCGCCATTTTCTACATTCCGCCCTCGAGGAAGGATAAGAAAGGCGAACGAGTCTGCTGGATGAAGTTCGGCTTCGACAAGAATTTCAGCCCCGTCTGTATCTTGGGCCGACGAAAGTCTTTATGGGGAGGTAACCCAGCCCATCTCGCTGCGGATGAAGACTCATACTATGACGCCGAAGAACAACCTGGAAAACATGCTCTTCTATTCAGAAGCGACTGGCTCACTCAACTCGCACCGTGCGACGAGGATAGAGACATCGCCGGGCTATGGCGGATGCGGGACTACTGTGTGATCCGGGGGCATCGGGATCTGGGACTTGACCGAAAGATCCAGTTCTTACGTCTACACATATCTGTCAAGCTGGAGCACACACCACCGAATTATCCAGTCGAGGGGTGCCCTAGCTCATTGCTGCCCGGCATGAACGTCTGGACCATCAACGTCAGAACGTGGGGTCCTGGCGGTAAGGACGGCGGGATGAAAACTGCGCAAACCACAGGAGAACTTCTCTTGAGAGGAATCGACGATATCTTTATGGCGGCTTGATATGTAGATTGCCGGCGTGGCAACTAGGTGTCCCTGACAAAGCAGCTCTAGCCAAATGGGATTGGTTTGCTGAGTGTCCTGAGCGAACACGCATACCCATGGCTGTGACTGGTGGCTACCAAGAACCAATCTTTGCATCTATCCGACGGCCAAAGACTTATGATTGAGGGTCCAACAGGGGAGCGAACTGGGAACTTTGGTCTCATCCCTGGAAGATGCGTCTGAGCACAAAAGTCACACCACGGTGATCCCGTTCAGCAGTCATCAATCAGCAACTACACGGTACCAGAATCGCCATATCTCGGTGAGACCGTCAAATCCACATCCACACGAGTTTATATCGGCAGCACCTGAACTAGCCCGGAAGATTTCATCCTTTCTTCCCACCTATACGACCCGTGAGCCCTGAGGCGGAGGTGGAAGTGGAGGCGACGACGGAGGCATTTTCGAACACCCTGCAACCAAAGTCTTGAGTGACAACTATGGCTGGCTACCTTTTCGGAGGACTACATCCGTCTTGGGGACACATTTTATAACGAAGTCTATGACGCCCACGACACTATTTACGAATCCATTTACGAATCTATTTGCGCATATATATATGTTATGTCACATGCAGACCGGTCCCGATATACTGTAAACCAGGCTTCTCCCTCCCAAGTTCTCCCCGTGCAAGCACGGACTAGAGAGTTGGCCTTCCATCTCGTACTGAATTCAGTTTAACTTGTTGAGATCGCGACTGTTCCTACGTGCTCGTCTCAGCGAGGATAGTACGAAGGAGCGCGGGAACCTTGTCCAGCGCAGTGCGAAGACATATTACCTGTGTCGACGCCACCACTCGAGATCCCCGTGAGGACCAGCTTACTTACTGTAACATGCCATGCGGTGTCGTCTCGGCGGTGGTCTAGCGACTAACTGAATGACTTCCACACTGCCCGAGGGTGAGAACTGACGGTACAATATTGCAGCGTTATAGCATTATTGAGCATAGCATAAGGCACTCATAAGGTAGCGTGACATGACATGACATCCCATAATATCCCATGTGTACCTGGTAGCGTGTTCGTCGTCCCAGGAAATCCCGGCAGTCCAATGATTACTGTATGTACCCACGAGGCGAGGCTGGCATTCCCACGCAAGCGCTCTCAAGCAAGCACTCTCAAGCAAGCACTCTCAAGCAAGCACTCTCAAGCAAGCACTCTCAAGCAAGCACTCTCAAGCAAGCACTCTCAAGCAA